GAGCTTTAAGACTGAATGTTTCCTATGTCTGTCTTGCATGGAATGACAATTTTAGGGAGGAGATAATGACTGGAATTTAAAGATGCCCAAAGCAGATAGAGTAACTGGACAGTTCTGTAAGTCCTCCTGTGGACGTCACATCGCTGCAGACAGGGTGTTTCTGTAGACCTGTTCTGTCTGCTACACTGAGGCCCAGCCAAACCCGGAACCGTGACTGCTATATTGTTGCTTGATTATCCAAAGACACCTTTAAAAGCCACCCTAATCAGCTTAATTAGGGTAATTAACCTACAGGACAGACAAGAACAAGAGCAGCACCTCACAATTCAGGCTGTTGGTTTTGGCTGCCAGGTGCCATTTACAAAAAGCTGAATTGAAAAGCTACACAAGAATGAGAGGAGCAATCAGTGCAATCATACAATCAGTGCAATCATACAATCAGTGCAATCATACAATCAATAACACAATGTTTTACATTATTGAATAACCAGACGATCAGCTGAACATTACATTCCTCTTTAGGCACTAATATCCAAATAGTTTTTAAATAGTGGATAGAATTAATAAATTGGTTCCTCACATCATGTATTACATGGAGAGTCACTAAGCTTATACTGATCAGATTGTACAATTAGGTATCAAACCTTTACGTGTCAGTGAGCCATACAGCTCTGCTTGGGTGGTCTCGGCGGTTTCACATTATGCAGTGGCCAAACACTGCCCACAGTGGCACTCATTGACATAGTCTGAGAACTTGATGAACAGGCCGCTAAACCACTACACCAGCTGTTCGGCCTGTGTCATATAAATACTCTACTAGACTGTGGCATTAAAATAACGAGAACTACTACACCAAGTAAATCATAATTTGGGAAAACAGGGAAATGTTAGTTTCTAGTCCTGTCTGTCAACATTATTATGACCAACCCCAATACAAGAAACATCTCCTAGATGCACTGGGACGCATCCTCAGTGATGTATCCTGAGGTCATTGGGTGTTTCGGGTCTTGCAGCATCATACAACCCAGCCGGGGTTGATTAGGCCACAACTTGCGTCCCAGCAGCCATCCACGGATCAGCCCTCTTCAACCAAAACCTTTGGCTTTCTCTGCGGCTTCACTTGCCCTCTTCTTGGCCGCTCCTGTAATGCCCAGCCAGGTGAGGAGTCTGCAGAGTGATCGTCCTGCAAATCCTCTACAGCCGACTTCTATGGGCTCATAGAGTTTCCTCCAGCCATGATCCCTCCATTCCTCCACTAGCTCCTGGTACTTGCCATGTTTTCTCTCATTGGCTTCCTCGATACGCTCTTCCCAGGGCACTGACAGCTCCAGCATGATCAGTTGTTTTGAAGCCTGTAGTGATGTGGTGACAATGTGATGTGAGAGGTGATGATCATGTCTGGATGCAGTGATGTGGTGACAATGTGCTGTGGGAACTTTAGCTGCTTTCCCAGGTCAGTCTGCAGCTGCCAGTCACAAGCTGTGTGGAGGAGGCCTGTTTTTACTCTTTCCTGTGCCCATGACTTCTCTCCAGCTCACTGCCTTCTTAGGGGCATGGTGGTATTTTCTGGTCCAAGTTAAAAAATTAAAAAATTACATTTCAAATAAAACTTAACCTCTGGTATAAAATGGGTTGTATGCCATGTAGTAAATAACTGAATTAATCAAACACTGATATTTTCAACACAAGGCCTTCCTTATGTGTTAGAGAGGCATAGCAAATTGCTCTAATCTACCACAAAAATGTAAATTGTTTAGTTTCTTTCCGCGTCCCTGAAGAAAACTTACAAATTGTTCCAGTTTACAGACTAATCTGTCTGTACTATTAGGTACCTAAATATCCAAAACACCCATTCATCTTAAAACCACTTATCCAGCATAGGGCTACTGGGAAAATAAACAAAACCAGTCTTGTGGACCATGGTATTCCAGTGAAATGCAGAAATAAACTTTGTCTGCCCTTGAAATGTGCCTTATCTTTTCTGTATTCCTTGATATTGCCTTCTGTTGGGGGCTGGACAGGGATTACAGATTGGCCCAGATCTGAGGTTCCCCGCGATAAATTCTGCAGAGTGGGGGGGGGACACATCCCCCCCCCCATCAGTGTACTGGGAAAATGCCCTATAATCCAGATTGCCAGTCCAGCCCTGCTTCTGTTCCATTGTTCCATTAACACCCCTAAGCGGTTGTTAAACATGAAACCAAGTGAGATCATGTGAACAGTGGCTTGCACAATGAATGCAAGGGAACAAGTGAATGTGGCTTTATCAGCTGTTGTGCACATTTTACCCTTTGGTGTCTCTTGTGCTAATCCAAATGAGAAGCCTTTAATTTGTTTTTATTGCCCTTTATGGCATTGAACTCAAGCCGGTTTCAAAACATAAAATGCTGGCCCTAAGGTAAGTCACTGTATCAACCCTTAAATAGACAATTAACACTATGACCTGTGCTGGTCAACCCATTAGGAGACATAGGCAGCCACCAAGGGCGCCATTAGCAAACCGATTTGGCTTTGTGTTGGACAGGGGGCACTGGGAGTGAAGCATGGCTGTAGTGCCACATGACCTTCCACCAGTACGCAGTGATAGCATGAACCCTCCAAACACAACAAACCTACACAACTCTAAAAATTGGGAAAAATTCTGGTTCCACCATTTAAATATCATGCAATGTGAATTCATGTGCTATTTCTTTAATTTAGGAATATATAACCTTAAGCAAAAATCGATTTGTAATCTTCAGTTCATAAATTAAAATATAAGAAAGAATACATCTCTCAATAGTCTCACTGTAATTGATCCAAGCTTCCATTAAAGAAAAAGTTATGCTTCAGGATCAAACTATATAGTGATGTTTCAGGATGAAAATTCATATGTCTGCCATGACATCATCTTTTATACTCACACACACGCACAGGTTTGTAATTATATCTTTGTGGGGACTCTCCACTCATTTCTTTGGGGAAAACTCTAATCACAACATGGCGACCGTAACCCCTACCCAGCCCTAACCTTAACCATAAGTAACCAAACAAAATACAAGACTTCTGGCATTTTTTGTTTTTTGATTGCATTCACAGATCTTTGTGGGGACTTGAAAAATGGTAATCAAGGAGAGTAATCAAACAGCAGCATTATCCACATGTCCATATTTACAGTGTAGCACAACTAATTCTCCAGAAGCATTAGCAAGCCACACAAAATGCAATAGGGCTTGACATAGCATGCAGTCACACTGGGGCACTATGGACATAAAGCCTGATTTCAACAGGTGTAAATATAATTACAGCAAAAATACTTATATTTATATTTTATTTTATTTATGCTGAATTCTCCCTAAAAACAGTATGACCAGATCCCAACCATAACTACTAGCAGGGAAGTGATGAGAAACACCGGCATTTCCATCTGCAGTGACCAGCCAAGATGAAGCAAACTACAGTGTCACAGAGTTACAGTACAGACAAGCACAAATGGTTAAAAGACATGCAGAGTTATCTGACATTTCAGCCCTAGTTTTCTGACTATGAAAATAAACAGACCCACCCCAACCAGAAACCTTGTAATAGGCCTAAATGTAGCTTGCAGTTTTATGGAAATATGTGACAATTACCTTTACAATAAACACCAAGAGTGAAATTAAAGTTGTTTTACAAAGTTTTCTACCCTTCTGGTATGTAAACTCACCCCTATGATCATTTGCATTTGTTACATCCTGCCTGGTCTGAAAAACCTTCTTGGGTAATATTAGCCACTGTTTCATACATTTGGAAGACAAGCATATTTCACGCTACAATAGATTTTGATCTGGAAAAATCTGCTTGCAATTCATGAACAATTTCAGACGGAATTAAAGACAGATTTGGGGTCTGTAACGTTAATTGGAGAAGACAATACTCTCATGCTGAAAGCATGTCCTGTAAAGGAACTGACTGATGCAGAGAAACAGCTATTGCCGTACTGCACTTCCCTCACGAGACACACCTGCGCTTACTTCGTGTCATTCACCTTCTGAACCTTGTTCATGAGTAACGAAATAAAACGAGCACCTTAAAATCGCAACATCGGTTCAAAAAAGATAGTCACGCGAAGGAAAAAATCCCTTGAAAGTTCACATTTATCAAAATAAGTTCGACAGCAACATGTAATTGTAGAGAACAACAGGGTAAAAATAAACTGATTCAGAAAATTGACAAACTGCATGGCTGCTTAGAAGAAGTATTTTATTTCTGTGTTGTAGTCTTCCGGATCTAAATGGTTCCTGGAAAGCGACGCCAGCACTGGTCCACGTCCGAGAATTTCTCTGACCACAGAAGTTGAGCTTTAATTAAAGTGGCACAATTAAATGAAAATCACCACAGTTTTATTCTCTACTAAACGATTTACAGATATTTATAGTGATCTACTATTCTAAGTTCTTAGACATTCATTTAATTTTATTCCAGCTGACTGCGCAAACGTAGAGTAAATAACCTACTCAAAACCATAAGCACTCCTTCGTGGCTCCTTCGTGACTCTTAATAAACTCTGAGGCTCAGACATAATCTGTTTGACCATCTTCAAGCATAACTAACATTTTTGCAATGTTTAAATCCATTCGCACAAATTATTTCATGCACAAAGGTCTGTATACTGTGCCTGTATGTTATCTTCTTCAGTAGCGACTTTCTGTATGTAAGAGGGACTAAAACATGCATAAGGTATGTAATATTTAAAGTTATCTATATGGCTGAAACGTACAGTACACCTAAATGAGCGCTTGGTACGTATAAGAGTGACGGGCGTGGCTTTGGTAGGTAATCCGTAATAATTTTTTCAATCAAATTGGACAAAGTCTGAACACCTGCGCCCATCGTAATTTACGTATTATATAAAGTACACTTTTTTCAAAAGTAACGGGTAAAATATTGTTGATTTCATTCTCCTTTCCCATTAAGCTACATGATTACAAATATTTATTTACAACAGACATCAGATGAAAAATCATATGAGAAACCCTCACCCGATATGTGACACACGCGTTTGTAGTCCTCGCAGCAGTCCCCGGTTTTCTGGCAGTACGTATCACAGTAGCAGACACTTTTTTGCCTGGAAAAGTCGCTGCACTCGTTATTTCGTCCTGTGCAGCAAGTGGGGCTCGATCTGTCCGCACATCCCGCTTCGGCTGGGATAAAAAAGCCCCCCGAAACGGCAAGGATGAGCAGCACCCCGCAGAGACAGCCGCTGGACGCCCCCATGCTGTACAGGACGGTGCGCTTCGGTTTCACGCCTCCCCAAACGCCCTCCCAACGGATGTTTAAGTCGAGAAATGCAAGTTAAAATCCATTAGAAGAGTTACTCCTTGAAATCTTGAAAAGGTCAAAATTATGTAATGAGTGACTAATTAAACAATTTACAAATTATGTTAATATAAAAATTATGTTAATCTTAAAATAATGTCTTTTGGCTATAGCGCAGTATTGTAAACTATTTTCTGATAAACTAGCGCGGATTTACCGCCAGCATGTTGAGTAAGTATTTACTGCAGGTTTTGTCGCGGACTCCTCGGCTCTTTCTGCCGCTTTTCTCTCGGAGGGTTTGACCGTCCCGCCCCTTGGAAAACAGACCGCCGTGTCATCTAGTCCTCCTCTCCGCTTACTTAGACTCGCAATTCCGCGGATGAGCCCAGTAACAAATTAGAGTCTATGCACATAAGTTAAACAAACACTGTTACCTCACCTTTAAATTTATTTAATTTGAGATTACACAGGAAATTATTTAGTTAATAATTATTTGTTAATATGAACTTTGCACTTTATTATGTTTATGTTATACTGTAATAAAGGAAGCATCATGCACATAATTTGTATCCATCCACCTTCTGGGTCACAGGGGACTTGCACACCCTGAATGGGATGGCTGTCCATCAGAAGGGCAACCAAACAGCCGAACTGCGTGCCTTTGGACTGGGGGGGGGGGACCCACATGGCACAGGGAGAACCTGTGAACTTCCCCACACTGCGTGCAGTGCAGGGTCACAGACCCTGGAGGTGTGAGGCAGTGCTACTACCCACAGGGCCACTGTGCCACTCAGCAACAAGCAATTACGATTCCAAAGATGACAGTCCAATCAGTTATTCATAATATTTGACATCACCCATGGAATACAAGCCCTTTTACATAACTGCTAAAAGAAACTATTTATTATAGCAAATTGTGACAAAGGTGTGTGTTGTCCCTAAACTGCCATGTTATTTCAAAAAGAAACCAAGTTTTAACGCCAAAACATAAATTTATTTGCTGAATAAGATGCTCAGACTGCAGAAACACTTAATGGAGCGACACACTACAATGCCAGAGTAACGTGAATGCAATGGCGTCCAGTTCCCACACAGAAAGAAGCACTACCCTGTCAACTGTTGACAGAATACCAGGTTGAGAAAGCAGCTCGCTCTGAACAATACGATTGCTTCCCCTTCAGCTGCTTTTTGTGGCACGGGAGGGGCTGGCCAGGTCACTCGGTGGTCTAGGGTGGTGTAAATCTCCATCAGGAGGCTGGAGTTTCACATCACACTTTGAAAGGGATTGACTGTTCAATGGCAAAAGAAACATTGGAAACAAGCCTGTGGGTGAGCATGAATGCAGGGAAATCGCTCCTTTCTCAAGACAGCGATGCAAGCTAACCCAGCCACTGCAAGGGGCCACGCCTGAACACACAGCAACTGCCTACTGCAAGCAACACTTCCAGCTCCTCTGTATAACGAAAGGCTTTCGGGAATCAATTACTGCCCAGTTAGAGGCTACAGAGATGAAGACTAGATGGTCAACGATGACACCAGTGTGTTTAGTGATGATACTATCATAGTGGACACTATTACAGCAGTGGAAATACTATTGAGCACAAGGATAATGCTAAATGACGTGAACAATGAGAGGGTTCACACCATAGGTTAGTCAACCAAGCATCCAAAATACCATTGATCGTGGAGTATTATAAATTAGGATTACATAGATTTCTAATGCCATGTGTTTTAGAGACATGTGTCCTATTAAGGAATTCAGCAGAAGGTGTGTGATGGGAAGGTTGCTGGTTCAAATCCCGCGGCAGGCAGAGTGATTTCTCTGTGGGGCCCCAGAGCAAGACCGTTAAGCCCAGCTTCTGCAGACCTGCTGAGCCTGTTTTTTCACGTGAACGTTGCTTTGGATTAAAGCGTCTGCTAAATGAATCTAATTGATGTAAGGAGAACTTGCAGTGTGCAACCAAACAGCTGAACATGTATACTAAAGGCAGAATACAAGCAAACAGGGACAGGACGCTGTGATTGGCCAGGCTTTGGGCCTCAAACAAAGCTCTATTGTACAGTAGGGACAAAAGGAGCCATCAATCACCAACAGGGCCACAGTCCATGACAAGAGAGAGCTGGCCTCTGACTTGCCAGAGAAACAGTACAAAGGCATTTCAGGGGCCCGTGGCCGCATTTCAACATCCGTGAAGGTCCAGGGTGTTGATGGGGGGGGGGGGGGGGAGGATGAGCTCTCACTCCGCACATGTATAAAGAATGCAGACTTCAAGGAGGAATCGAGGTATCCCCAGGGGCAGTGAGGAAATGTTTCCCTGCAAACATTTCAGTGAAAAGCTGCAGTTCTAAGTCACTGTATTATTCTCTCACAGGTACAGGCAGCATACTGGATAAATGTGGGAGCCTAAAGAGCTGAAACCTCAAGCAGGTTTGTGTGCCCGACAAACTAGTGATCAGCTGACTAACAAAGCAGTGATGTGAGAGCAGCAAACAGCATTCATAGCTTGTTGGGTTGAGAATGGACTGGTTTGCTTATTCCTAACATTTCTAAAGGAATGTTATTTAGTATCCCGTTAGTTCTATTACGAGCATCATAACTAACCTTGTAAAAAAGTGGGCGACATACCTAACTCCCAGGTGAAGGCTATTCCTCATCTTTGATTGTACAATCACTGTTACACCAAATCCAGGTCTCAAGCAAGAAAACAGAGCATTTTAGATTTTTCAGATTTCATAATTTATTAAGAGGACATTTGACACCAATGTTCATAAATATACTCTAAACGGATATAGGCACACTGTTTGGCACATTGCAAGGTAACGGTCACATGGGAAGTCTACAGCGCTCACAAGGCGGACAGTCTACAACGCTCAAGGACAGTCACTATATCCATACGCCAGACATTATTAGCATTCTTATTCTTACTATTGATTTTTCCTCACACAATTTATAGATCCATTTGCATGATATACCTTTTATGGCACATAAGTAAAGACACAACACCACATTTTTCACACCCACCTTAGGCAGTAAAACTGAACAGTCAACAGGAGTCTACATTCGACAATCAAGAAAATAACAGCAGCTACTGCTCAAGCAACAGTTGCTAGGTGCTTGGAAGGCCACCCACTGAAGCTGCGGAAATGTTTGTCTTTGAGGTCAACTGACAGGTCAGACACTAAATTGACTTCAGTTTACGTACACGCCACACTAGCAAAGCATCATGGGAATTTAGGAATTATATAAGAGAATGCTACAGAATGGGCACTTGGGAAAACATTGTTTTTGATCTGGGGTTTAAACACCCTCCCCCCACACCACCCACCATGAAAAACCTGGTCCAGGATGGACCCAATAGTGTTGCTGTCTAACACCTCATAATGCCTCTGTGCCACATACTGGACAGTAACATGGTGGCTGTGGCCAGGTGGGGGGGAGGGGCGTATAGGACGCTAGCACAGCTGAGGATTAGGGGTAATTATGAGCTGAGAAACAAATCAAACTTCGCAGTTTGAACTTGCAGTAGGAGAATCCTTATCAGTATCAGTTCATTGTTCCCACATTGTTACAGCTTCACTGCAGGCCCCATACTTGTAATGCATGGCTAGCTGGGACATGCCTTTCTAACAGGGATTAGAGCAGATCGATCCATCATCAGCGGGTAATACGAGCAGCAGCAGAGGCTCAATGCTCATACGCAGGTACACAGCAACACCAGTCACCCAGGAATCCCCCAGGTGACAATATTACCTCTCAGCTGCTACACAGCATTCTGGAAACTGTGACATTACTGCAACATTGCGGGAACCTTAAAATAAAAGAACAAAATAATGTGAAGCTATATATATATATAGTATATATATATATATAATCCTTGTATGGGTTCAGCACCCCAGCATCACTGAAATGAAATTTCACCAACAGGAAGAGTTTTATTGTCATCCAAGTTTTTCAAATTCCACCAAATTTTCTGAAAGTGGTACTTTTTCTTCTACACAAAAATGGGCACTTAAATGAGTTATTACATTAGTCAAGAAATGTAAGGAAAAAATATTCATTTTACATATTCATTAATTATGAATGATTTCATAAACCGATTTAATAGTACTCTTTGTTATTCAGAAACATATGCATTTAATCACTATATACTTTATATATATATAAAATTTGGTCGAATACAAAATGTGATCCATTCCATTGAAAGTATGATAATTGGAATTAAGACTGGGAATAGACAGGACTCGTTAACACAGAGAAATGGTGCAATCTTGATGTTAGGCAAGTTAAGACATTTGGAGGAGCACAGAGGTAGAATGATACTGAAGGATATACATTATTTTCATAAAAATAAATAATATCTATCAATCCAGATATGAGGCACATCTGTAAAGCTAAAGGTGCTCCAATAAAAATAAACAAAAAAGGCATGATGTGAAGTTAGGTTTTTTGGTGTTTCAGTAAAAACATAAAAAATTAAGGTAATGGGTGTTCAAAGTCTTATTTTTTTCCTTTGGCTTTAAGCCAACAGTGGATATTACACTGGATATCCGGGCCTGTGATAATTATAATGCATCATGCAGTCAGTTCTGTGCACAAAACTAAATGACAGGTAAGAGATATTTTACTTTTTCTTTTTGGCTCTATTCTCACAATCATTAAAATTCACAGCGGAAGCTAAATTCCACCTGCTGCCGGTGAACTGCAGCTTAACCTCATAACGTAAAGTTGCAATTGTTTCCGAAGGAGAGCTGAAATCATTCCAGTGCAATCAACACACAAAGTAACTGCAAAGATGAGCGAGACATCGTTTGCTGCTTCTGATGCTCATTAGCAGGATTAGCATTAAGAGCCTGGTCCTGGGTGTAATTCCAAGCTAGATGAGGAGGAAATGACGGCCTAATCAGTTGACGACCGCCTGCAGTTTGGCTTGAGGGCATTTTTAATTGGCAATTAATAAACCTCTCATGTGGTGCAGTGGTGAGTTTTAGACTTTAAAGTAGAGCTTTACAGGACTATCTTTCTACTTGTCTTTATGTTATCTTTATGTTATCTTTATGTTATCTTTATGTTATCTTTGTTATGAGACGCTTGGTAGAAATTATTTCAAAAACCTAAAAATTAAAAAAAAAATTCTAACCTTAGAACAGACTATTACACAGAATCTTGGTCACGAAATTAAACGAATCATTGGACCCACAGTTTAGTGATGACCGCCAGTGCACAGACTGCGTCTTTTGCCTTTGCTGGCACTGGAGGAAACACTGCAACAGTAAATGCAGCAAAACTGCAACACCGTTCTATTTGACACAAGGTTCCACTTTAGAAGTGTCATTAAAATTAGGTACATTAGCTTTTTCCACGTTGAGTGTCTCTATGGCGCAGGCTGTCACCTCTGCCAAGGGCATATGTAGTAATTAGTTGTTTTTAATTTGCCACAGTGCTAGCGCTAGATGCCCCACCCAGGGCCCCCCGGGGCAGGGTCAGCGGCCTCCCCTGGCTCCCCCTCATTCCGTCTTCCACACCTTGTTCAGCACCTTCACCACCTCCTCGTAGATGATGAACACGATGGCGACGTCAAGGCACACGCGCCCCAGGCGGGGAATCGTCCCTTTGTAGAAGCTATGGGGGGCAGGAACACAATCACACTGTGACTGACAACAATAAATTGTTAAAATATAACAGAACACATCATGGATGAGCCCCTTCAACCTGCTAAATGGATACAATGACGAATGTTAATAGACTTTGCCAGAGTCTGTCAGACAAACATATAAAACCACACGACTTACAATTATTTAAAAAAGGCAATTTAGGTGAGCTTTATCGAATAAGCCACATGTTAAGAGTATAAGTAATTAAGAAATATGTTAGTTACAGCCCAGATTCACCCTAGAGTAGCTCTGTATCTGAGCTGATTACAGTTCTTTATCCCTGTACAGAAGTAAGAATCCCTTTGAGCAGAAGCCTGTCTGTCTGTATCCCAGAGAGAGGCCCCCCCAAAGACCCCTCAGGTATAGGGGCCCCCCACTTACGCAGCTGGGCCTTCGTGCCTCATGATCTTCACAGCACAATCCACAGTGTTTTTATACTTGTGGGCCTCTAGACCCTGTGCAGAGAAGAAGCCATGTCAGGTCTTTTCTTGAGCTCACAACCAAGCTTAAGAAACATCTAACATAAGTAAGATTCAAGCCCCATCCATTCCTGTGGGCAACCAAAATGTCTGCACATTAAACAGGACTGGATTAAACCGCCTGAATATTTAGAAACACACTCAGATCCCCCTTTTGTATATTGTGATTGGACAGTGTTTCGGGGTCAAAAGAGGCTGTTTGGGTCTCTTACCTGCATCCTGGTCTTGATGACATCCAAGGGGGTGTTGCCAAACACACTGGCAGCCCCGGCAATAGCGCCGAATGCCCCCGTCACAATTGGGTTGATGGCCTTGTTGGGGTTATCACCTGGGCAACAGGAGGTCAGGGAGTTACATGCATAAACAAAGCAGGGTAACAATCTACTGCAGCAGGTACCACAACAGCAACTCTGATATTGAGCTGGGCTTCACTGGGGACCTATGAGCACATGCTCTGAAGGTATTATGGAAATGAAACCCAAAACATTTTCCCACCAATGGGCTTTAATATAATTCACACCCTTTTGCCTCAGCTGATTGCCTTAAGTGTGCCTGATCTGCTATACAAATTGCATCTTTGGATAATCCTTGGCAAACAGGTGATTAGAGGGAACATGTAATATCAGTGGTAACGATGCAGTGCTGCTCTCGATCAGTAATGCATATTCTGCACTTGGCTCATTTGGAACAAATAATTAGCATTTAGATAAACCAAGGATCAAGTATAGGACAGCACTGCCAGTCCAGACACTAATGTTCTTGGAATACAAAGCAGACTAGCATGCCAAACAAAGTACACAGATTGATTAAACCCAGAAAAGTATCATCACTTTATCATCATTGAGGTGCTCGCAGATTCAGTCAACATATAGGTTTCAGACCATAATGTCTTATTTCACCTGTGTCAACCACTGACGTTGTCATAAGTCCACAGCATTAAACAGAGACACTAACCTTTGTACCAGTTTTTCAGAGAGGTCATAACATAAAAGCGAATCGCCTGATTGGATCCCTGTTTCAACACTGTTGCAGTGAGGCCCTGGTAAGTTCCCCGGAGGCCTGGAAAAGAGCATCCACATCGAATCAGACGCACAGATACAACGGTCCTAAACCATCCTGTTTGACTTACTGGAATACTAGATGACATTAAGAGTTTGAAATAGTTTTAAGTTACACAGCAGGCTATTGTGTGTATATTGTTTGTATTTAGTCATTGTGTTCATTTAGTATTTAAGTGTCTGACTTGTTTTTAGCACCTGTCTTCTAGAGATGAATTTAGGCAAATCTGTTTTGACGCACACGCAATGGGTTTCCTGCACTACTCCAAACAGACAGCAGAGGGCGGTACCTTCACGGTAAATCTTTCTTACCTTGAGTTCTGACGATTTCTCTCACCCCATGGAAAAATCCTCTATATTTAGGATTAGCAGAGGTTTGATCATGTATAAATTTAACCTGAAACCCATAAGGTTACACACATTATTAGATGAATCATGTGGAATTTATTATTAATCTTATTAATATATATATATATAACACTGACCTACTAGTTAGAAAGCCAGTTCCTCAGCAATGTGCTTATTTTGAAATAGCTATATTTTCAAAATAGCTTTTAAAAGAAAGAGTATATTTGATGCCGAATATAGATTCTGATTCTGATAATACACACACACATATACAAACTTAACATGGAAAAATGTCATGCTCCTATCTCTGTACGGAAGATTTCTGTAAAAGCACATGACAAATCAAAAGCTGGGCCTAAATGTCCTGTTTATTCCAGCAAGAGGCAGTTTAGGGGCAGTGAAACCTCGAATAAGAAGATACTCATTTTCAGGTGTAAATCCTGGCCTAAAGACTCCTTTTATCTGTATTGATTTTCTTTTTACTCTTGGCCAAGTCACAGCGAGAGCTACATGATTAATCATTTTACATCACAATCTCGATTCATAGTTGAATGTTACCCAGCTTGTCTGTGTGGATTAACAGAATGACTTTACACTATTTTTTTATTCAATGGAAAATGAAAGATTATGATAATACACGTCACAGGCCAGTACTGTGACACCTCTTATAAGTAGTGAGTGAGCCAATGAAATCCCTCACCCTCCACTACGGAAAATGGCTGGTCGTCCAATGCAGCCACTTCCTTATTTCATAGCTGTGTCTATAGCTCTGGTGCTACTAACAATATTTATAAAGTTTACATATTGATTGACAATATCTAATATAATATCACGCATCTCTGGATATTGTTTGTTTCATCTTTAAAAAAGATGATTTGTAATGAAAAATAGTAATAATAATGATATAATAACAAAAAAGACTAAATATATTGCTCAGGAATCATGAAAGAAAATCACATTTCTGAGTGAGGAAAAAAAAAAATGTGATTCGACTGTATCGGGAATCGTGCAGCTCAGGTCAGGACGCCTTCGGGTGCATGTGTCTGGGAACTCTGTACACGCGAGATAAGCGTGCTTAACCAAGGCCAGTTCGGTCTTGCTCACCTTCACGGTCTCCATGGGACAGACCACAACCACGGCCTCAGCCACACCGGCCCCCAGCCCGCAGATCAGCCCCTGTGTGCTGTCCAGCTTCCCCGCCTCGTCTCGCATCTGGTTGCTGAGAAACTCAAACATCCCAAACCTGGCGAGAAACAGCAGGTGTGGGTGACCCACAGGGTATCGGGACATTTCCAGCCATCAGGAATGACCCAAGACAAGGGCCACCTACATTAGAAACAGGAAGAGCAGGAATTGGATGGACCCCTGCTTCAGACTCTGGTTATTGCCTCAGTGTGTCATCTATCACTTTTTAATATGACATCGTTGCTACAATGTTTCATTCTTCCTTAAAGACATCAGAGAACAAGTCCTGGTGTCGCTTTGAATCTGCACCTGATGAATGGGTTTGATGGCAGGATCTCAGTGCTTCTCACTAGAGTGAATAAATGTTATTCTCCACAAACCGAAAATAACTCAGAAGTCACAGCCCTGCTACGGGGTGTATCTCTGTATTCCTTCTCATGTGTGACTGTTTTGGCTAAATCAAAGCTGCATTTTCAACCAATAAATCAGCTTCCAGCGAACCAGGCAATTTCCTCTCAGCTACAGATTGAAGTCCCCAGCTACTTGTGACTCTTGCAGGCTCAGACTGATCCCTCAGACTCCCAGGCCACAAACTAACCATATGACCTCATTTGACACATAATTACTTCTTTGCTGAAAATCATGAAATGAAAATGACAGACTGAAGTTACTTTTGGTCCTGCACCACATTCCTTGTGTGACTTTAAACTTTTAAAAGCAAAATCCTGGAGAGGAATGGCATATAGAACAGGAGAATGCACATTCAGTGCTATGAAAATAAGTTTTAAAACAAAACCAAATTGGTGATAAAGGAACACTGAATGTAACAAATAAAATGACAGAGGAATAAAGATAGTGGTCTTGTGGGAAAAAACAGCCTTTAATTACACTAAACAAAGTCCCAATGAAATAACATTTGCATCGATCCACAGAATGACACACCATCACAGGAATAAAGAGATGGTTTTCTCCCCCCGGGTGCCTCTTATGCACCTGAGGGGTGTTCCACCAAGCAAGATTTCTCAGGTAGCTTGGTTAACTTAAGCCAGAAGTCATGACTGTCCAATCAGAGTTTAGGTATGGAACATTCCTATTGGACAATCATCACTTTTAGCTTAAGTCAACCCAGCTAACTGAGAAATCCTGCTTCATGGAACACCCCCCAAGACTTACATGTACATATTCAGTAGACGCTTTTGTTTATACAGTTAGGTGATGACAGTCTGGGGCCAAAGACCTAGCTCTAGGGCCCAAAGGTGACATGATCACTCTTCTGGAAACAGAAACACACCACAAGCCTACTGAGCTGCACACTAGCTCATTAAATTGGCATAGAAATGCCACTAGCTAACGAGCGTGAGCTGTGCTGTGATGCGAGAGACTCTCCCCACTGCTTGCCAGCCGCTACCCAGCCGCTACCCAGCTCTCCTCACATCCCTGCCGTGGCTTTGAAGAGTCTGAAAGAGGAAGTAAACGCAGATAACATCTATTTATAGCTCTGGCTGAATTATGGTGGTGACTGAAGCGAAGAGGAGTTACTGTCTGATCTTTAGGTACTGCATCTTGATTGCTGCTTCTTGAGAGCCTTAGTGTACGCTGTCACTGCAGTACTGACAGTTATTGCTTTTTTTCCCTGTAACCAATTAGCATTCAGCATCTGTCCTCTGCCTCTGGAAACCTTGTGCATTTATTCAGTTGACAGCTGTTTGTGGAGTCTCTCTCCACTGCACAGGATCATAAAATATACCAAGCCTCCATCACAGCACTCAGACTGACACTTCTGGTCTGTAGGTCTATGGAGATGAGGGGACACGAGATATAAATCAGGATTCACAGTTTGCCTTTACTTCTGTTCCTCTCCATCACTGTGTAATACATTTACTCTTAAGCTTTTTCTCCCCTGACAGTACTTTCTGATTTCTGTTCGCAAGTATCTCAATCTCCCAACTCCTTCTGGCATTCACACAACAGTGGGGCGACCAGATAATCCATGTCAGGGAGGACACTTTGGGTTTTACAAACTACTTTCAAATTGAAAGGCTCCTGTGCTCAGCTCTTCTTGTGCTTTGACTGGTTTGTTTCCTTGACTGAAAGACTCATCCAGCTGTTTCACATTAGCATTAGTGACACATGCATGATTATGGGAGGCTGACCAATCAGCACACAGCAAGAGCTCCAGGTCCTTTTAATTGAAATGGTAATTTACAATTCCTGTCCTAGCACAGAGTGTCCTCCCTGACATGGATTATCTGGTCACCCTGCACAACAGGACCTTGATGTAGCAGATACAAAACTACATTACCCATGAGCCTCTAGGGCACAATACTTCAGATGGAAGACCAATGACTGACTTATACTAATGACAAATTTGGGAAGTAATACAGATTTGCCAAGGTTGAGCGTAAAGAAGGGTCAATATTCCCACCTGATTTACCAAGCTTTTGTAAAATTTGCACATATTCCCCTGTTGAGACTAAAAAAAGAACCTAAAATAAAACCTTAGTTTTTTTGTTTTACAACCCAAAATCAGAAAAAGTTTGGAGGGTCTGGGAAATGCAAAAAAATATAAATAAATAATGCAGTGATTCTGAAATTTACTTTTTCTATTATTTCATTGGAGACTGTATGAATCCAAGATTCTGAAGATGTTTTGTCAATTTCATTTCATTTGTTAATATACATCCATTCCTGTATTTCAGGCCTGCAACACATCCCAAAAAAAGTTGGCATGGTAAAGCCTTCACCACTTTGTAATGTTGTCATTCCATCTCACAACACTTAGAAGATGCTTTGGCACTGAGGATAAGAAGCGATTCAGGTGCTATTTTGTCCCATTTTTCCTGTAAACATGTCTTAAGGTGTTCAACAGTACGGGATCGACGTCGTCACATTTTCCGTTTCTAAATTCTCCACACATTCTCTATTGGGGACAGGTCAGGACTGCAGGCAGGCCAGTCCAGCACCCGCACTCTCTCCTGCAGCCATGCCTTTGTGAAGCATGCAGAATCACTCATTGGTGATTTAATTGCATTCATACTGCCAATTTCACTACCCTGTATATAATGAATAATATCACTCAGAGACAAACAGCTGCAAAAGCTTTATAAATCAGACCCTTAATGTACAAATTCCCAATTTCCTGCCAGGTCGTCTGGTCATTAAAGCAGGTAGGATTTACAGATATGAAGTGTCTCTAAGCAGAAGATTAATTGGCATCACCTGGTCAAGCAGCCATTAACAGCACTGCGAGGTGACGAGTTATGGACTGAGCGATGTTTAGAGTGATGCAGCCATCTCCACCCTGACAGCCCTGGGGCATCCCATAGTGACAGCTGGGAACATGAATTGGCCTTGCTCACATGTAGATCTAACAGCAGAGCTGCTGGTACAGTACAGCTACATCCATCCATCCATCCATCCATCCATCCATCCAAAGCACAGGGCACCAGGCAGGCTGCCAAGCTGGTCACAGAGCAGAAACCTACATACACAGACACACTATGGCAACAGACAAAAGCAGAAGATGCAAACTTCACAAAGATTCAGGGAAGGAGTCTCCCCGAGACACGACACCACCGAGAGCAGCCAGTTACACAAACGCAAAGATGCTGGGCAATAATGCAGGTCAGCTCAGCCGGGAAAGCCAGTCCACACTACGTTGGTTGGCACACTGCATACTGCATATATCATTACTATACATAAAATATTTCTCATGAGTTTGCAAATCAGCTGTACACAGCACCAAGCAATTTAGAAAAAACACTTTTATGGAAAATCTAAAAAAAATAAAAAATCCATCCTGGGTACCAAAAGTGCCAACTTCCTTTGCAGCCAGCACATTCATTCTTCCCATGCTTGGGCTAGATGCCAATTCAAGATGAGTAACAGATTCTAATCTAATAATATCTAATGAATGTCCCTCCATTAGATCGCCTTCTACAAGGTCACCCTGCTCTTTGGCTGCCCCAGCAGGCGTCCAATCAGCTAATGAGGGAAAGGGAGCTCATCCAATCAGCCAAAGAGGGAGACGGAGGCACCAGGACACCTCAGCCACAGCACTTTGCCATGGCTTTCTTCAAGGAGGGCAGATCAGCTGGCAGGCCTCCTCCGATGCGGGGGCCATCAGGAAGCCGGCCTTATTTCTACCCTCACTGGCAACTGGGACAGGCTTTTATTTAATGGGAATCTGTCACTGGGTTATGGCTGTCCATTTATATGGCTTCTGTGTAATGTGCTGTTGGACAGACTGTCGCGGAGCTTCTCTTTGCTTTGGAGAGATATTCATTAATCCTGAGAGAGAACATGCCTGAAGGACATGGAGGTGGGGCTTTGGGGGGGGGGGTGTTATGGGGTTTAGTTGAAACAGAATGGGTGGATTGGCTGTCTGGGGCTGGGTATCTGGGGAACATGGTGATAGCTGTGGGGGGTGGGGCATAGGATCTTTGCTGCCTTGCCCCTAATGGTCCTCTTTCACAGAGAGGTCCTTTATGGACTCCCCCCACCATGGAATAAATTCATTGATATGATAAGCATATCTGAAGTGTTCTTCCACCGACGCTTAAGTGCTGGATTGTTTTTGTTAATGAAGTTTCCAGACCATTGTGCAATACAGCGCTCCCGATATAAAGAGGAAGAGGGAAGCATTCAAGGCGCACAAGACATAAAACAAATCGGGCACTACAGTGGGCCAGCTGAGTGCTGCGGAGAGGACCCGTATGCTCCTCCCATCTCACAGGATTAACTCCACCCTGATGTCACACTGGGCTCCTGATTGGCTGATGAGCCAGCTAATATCTCAGCATCAAACGGCGCCTCCCTCCAGAGATGCATAACGGCCTTGACTGACAGAATGTAAATTCTCATCTAGCTGTCATACATGTCCAAGAGCCGCCCTGTCGTAAGGTCAAACAGAGAGGGACCTTGGGGATTTCTCTAGACTTACACTGTCAGCTTCAGACGCCACTCTTCATAGATGCTACACGATGCAAATTACAGGAGAATTCTGCTCCGTGGGAATGACCTTAATACCAGGGCGTTCACTGTCAGTGGAGAGGTGGAGGAGATGCGTCACACTTAGTGCACCTGTCTGCTCTGGAGCTCCAGGAATAGAGACTTTCAGCGACAATGAGAGCTTCTCTGCGATAGGCCAAGCACTAAGGTGCCTCTAATTGGCCACACGTCAAAGAAAAGCAGACAGCGGCTCCATGTAAAGGTAACACGCCATCTCATAACCAGCCATGAGAAATCACTGGATGCAGAAACAAAGACAGAGATGAATGTAAGGAGGAGATCATAAAGTGAACACCTCAAGTCTACCTCTAGGACTTCTGAAACCAGGGACAGACCATTTCGATTTTAACCAAAAACACATGAGCCTGCTGGTCCCTCTGTTATATCTGTTTGACCAGTAATTCATACTGAGATTTTACTGCCAGGCCAAGCTGCTACATCGGCAGAGCAGCCAAAACCCCAAACTCGGGGTCCGGGCACCAATCAGGAGGGCAGACGCCCAGTGGGCAGCTTCTCATATTTCATTAAAAATCCTACATCTCAGTTACCTACCTGCAGTCAGACTGACCCGCTCTCCGCTCAGTGGTCCCACACAGTGTGACTGATTCACCATTATATATTTTACATCACATTCAGTTATTTCAGCAGAAGCTTTTATCCAAAGTGTGAGACAGCCACTGGGGCAATTAGGGGCTAAGGGCCCAATGGTGACATCACTCTGCCGAACACGGGATGTGAACCGGCAACCAAAGCCACACACTGTCCTGTGTCATACACGAGGCTATGATCTATCTGCTGGACACATGGAACATTCCAGGATATACAGATTCCCTGCATTGCTGCTGAATTCACCACAGAATAACTGCTTAGCAAAAGCTTTTATCCAAAGCAATAACCTGCAAGTCCGCCTCACACATGGTCACCCTAAGCAATGTCACCCCACCCCTAGACTACAGAGGAGCTTGATCCACACCATTGGTGACCAGCATTTTCTAGCCACCTGAGTAATATAGACACCCTTATTGATTAGACACCTGCCATCAAGGAACAATGAATCTGTTGCACCAGCAGGGGGCGTTGAACACAGGCCAAAATTGAACCCCGGTTATTACTGAATCAATCCGGGTTACTGTGTTGCTCAAGGGTGTCAGAGGTGACCTGCTTCTGGCACTTGAACAGGCAGCATCCTTTAGTTCACAAGCTCACATCCATAACCACTATGACACTGTATGCAGTAACAGAATCACAGAAGAACCTGCAGGCAGTGGAGCATTAGAGGAGTAAGAGCATAAGAACGGCACGTACCTGACAGCAGCCTTGGGAATGGAACCATAAAGCAGCGAGCTGAGGCCTCTGTACAGCCCCCTAACGCCATGGCCCTGAACCGTTTGCCTCACACAGTCCCCTGCAGGAGAGAGCCGGTACTGCGTTAGAATCCATGGCACTTGGCGGTTGCAGGCAGCACTGCTTACGGAAAGCGGTGAGCTGCTTAAGGGTGACACCCTGAGTCCCAGACTCCTCCTTCTTAAGTATCATATCTAACTGTATGTGCAAACCTTTGAAACCATATTAACTTTCCCTAGAGTCACTCTGAATTACCTTCTTTTTTTGATCCTTCATCAAAAGTCAATCAGAAGAAGTTTGCAGCTTCTCCGTGTTTAATATTTATGCATTCACACCTATACGGACACACTGGTGTGTACTGTTCCGCATGTGCGGCGTAATTAGCGCAGGCAGCAGCTGTCTCATTAAGAGCCTTGGACAAGAAAAGGTCCCAAAGAGACGCAGAGTTTGTTTACAGCCACCGCTCACTATCCTTCCTGCTTCCTCAGCGGAGCATTTTGCGGCTTCGGTACAGAGAATCAGCAGCAGTTAATGTGCCGGGGTGTTTGCCAATCAGGTCACATGACTCACAGAGAGGGTCAAAGCACGTCCAATTTTGGGACAATTGAACCGTTGGCTGATCAAAAGAGGACGAACGCCGCAGGGAGGGGCTGCAGGAGATAGCCAGCTCTGCCTGGGGTGCGCTAATGAGCTCTATTTGCTAACGTGCAAATAAAATACACTGCTGACAAACACCGGAGTTTCAAAGTTCACTCCTAGAGTTTGGGGCCACAAGTAAAGAGGGGCAGTCCACCTTTACACAGCAGCTGGGGGGGGGGGGTGCGGAAAAATCAATAATATGCTGAATAACTTCACCACTCCTACAAAGTACATATTTAATCACATGACAGTACTGACTCAGATCATATTTAAAAAGGAACATAATGTATATTTGCCAGGTACCCGTCAAGCACTAGCCTAGGGGTGTCAAACTGCAGTCCTGGGGGGCCGGAGCCCTGTGTAGCTTCAGCTCAAGAGCTGTGTGGTAATTAGCACGAGGAGTTGAATCAGGTGTGTTAAACGAGGGGAAACCCGAACATGTGCAGGGCTCCGGCCCCCCAGGACTGGAGTTTGACAGCCGTGCACTAGCCTTTGGCTCTTGATTATTACATCCAAACAGTTAATTTAATTAATCACTAGGCCACCTGCTGGCCTGACACAGTCGAGCTGGTACTTCTTGCGTTACTTGGCAACAAAAAGAGAATGTGGAGTCCTCTCAGCAGCCATGAAGCTCACCCACCGATGCCCTTGTAGCGGGGAGGGTTGGCCTTCTCATCCAACTGCAGCTGCGTCTTCACGTACTCTGTGGGGAAGGTGATGCAGATCTCGATGCCTCCAGCAATTCCACCTGCAAAAGCAAGGAGCACTTTCCAGTTACTTCCCCCCTGTGATGATGCCACACAAAAGCAGGGGGGGGGGGCATTTCCCAGTTACTGCCCCCCTGAGATCATGCCACACAAAAGCGGAGGAGGCATTTCCCAGTTACTGACCCCCATGATGATGCCACACAGATGTGCATATTGGACATATAAATTCAGCCACAGCGATAATAAAGCCAGAACCTCAGCCAGCATAGAACCCAAGCCTCCCTAGTGGACCAGACAGCTTTGAATCAGCACAAAAGGGCCCACAAGCACAACTTTGAACTAAAATTATCTAGGGAGGACCTAGAAGACTAACATCAGAGCTTTGCTACACAGATATGGGAAATTATGGAAGATTCAGCAAAGAAAAATCAAAACAACAGCAATAATGTAAGCTGTTCCTATGATTTTGAATTATTTAATTAACCAACTGAATGTTCCTGTTAATATATTTATTTGTTCTTTGATATAAATGGATTTACACAAGCCAGAAAAAAACAACCCTACGTGGGGTCAGACTGACCATCCTGTGTATAATGAACATGCAAGGATACGTGATAGATTAGGCTGTGAGCTATTAAACCTTCCAGAACAAACCTTGGCAGCAAATAGTTACCATAGTTAATAAGGAACTACTTTGCCTTAATTAAACCTGATAAGTGTTGCAACTGGCGTCCAAAGATTAAAATGCAGCTTGTAGGTTCAAGTGTAACTTTTGCACTCTTTAAAAAACAACTTGGGACATTAAAGACCCAAACAGAAATAAGGCTGACTATTGGCTTGTTCAGGAATCATGTGACCTGACTTCACTTTGCACTGGCCAATGTAGTCAGCTCTCCTGTCAAAGGCTGTCTGTACAACTAATAGCTCGTTGGGTGGGTATTGGGCAGTTGGGCAGTCAAAGATTCAGTGACTGTGACTCAATAGAAAGCATTAAGCAATACAAACTTATGAACTTTGAGGTTATTTGTGTAATACAGTTTGTCCAATAACATCTGTAAAATCTTCATTACCAAATATCTTTGGTTTTGCAAGGTTTACTTACAACAGGCCAAGTAATTGTAAGACAAAACACCAAAATTCTGGGCTCTGACTAGTTTGTGAGTTGACATAATCAACAGAGGTCATAACCATTTAAACTCCAGCCCATCATAGGCTCAGTTACATGATATGGTTAAAAATCTGTTTGTGAATAATAAACATCACCTTTTGCCCATAAACGCATTTCAGCTGCTCTATATGTGATGCAAGCTATCGTTTTTCACTTAACAAGGATGGAAAAACTCACTTTATAGAAATACTCAGGTAGACCCACACAAACAATTTAGGACAGAGCACAAATCCACAACAAGCAGCAGAATGATTAGCTCAGTGTATGCCTGTTACCCAGACAGACAACGCCAGAAAAAGCCTTATTATACCATATTATCAGAAACTACCAAATAAGTAGTATTAAGGTTTAGTAGTGTAAGTATTAAGGCCTAAAACACAGAACAGTGATCATGCCACCTTACAAAGCACAATGAAAAGATGAAATTACCAAATTTTGCATGTATCCAGTCTGACTTGGCATGCAGGCTACAGCTCATATACACATAGGACTGGACAATAATTCGATATCAATATATATCGCGATATAATTTTTTTCAATAACAGTGATACGATTTTTAAACACATTTCCGATATTTCGATATACATATATACTGTATCATATAATATACAGTATATGAATAATTTAGTAAATTTTAGTTTAAATGGAAATATATTATTGTTAATAAGCTGAGTCTGAGAGTTTTATTTATTTGATAGTTTATTTCACATTTCTTGTTTGTAAAGGCTAAATACAAATAAAAAGTGAACCTTATTTTTTTTTTCTTTTTTTTTTTTTAAAAAAAATTATATAATTTTAATAGGAGGAGCCTGGAGGTATTATAGACTTTGCAAATTCAGTTTGCAGACATCCATTGTGTGTGTCCTCGGCAGTTTTTTCCTGAGGCTTTTTAATATTGTCCATATCGATATCGGAATTATATCGTATCGACCAAAATTAAGAAATATATCGTGATATAATTTTTTGCCATATCGTCCAGTCCTATATACACATTCTATTTTTTGATCTTCATTCATGTGGTTGGTAGACTTTGTATAATGCAGACACACAGCTTATAATCTGATGCCTTTATACAAGCAAATACGGAACAGGACACATACGACTCGGCCTGAAACTTGAACCTGTAACATTCAGATCAGAAACTCCACCAATACAGCACCTACGACATGATATTGATGCAGCACTGGGCACAGAGACACAGACAGACAGACACAGAGACACAGACAGACAGACACAGAGACACAGTGACGGAGACAGACAGACACAGAGACACAGTGACGGAGACAGACAGACACAGAGACACAGACAGACAGACACAGAGACACAGACAGACAGACACAGAGACACAGACAGACAGACACAGAGACAGAGACAGACAGACAGACAGAGGCAGACACACGCAGACACAGTTCACTTCCTTTCAATCAACAGTCCTGTTGAAATAAACGAAAGCAGTAAGAGCAGGATTGATTTTTCCCAGCATAACCAGCTGCTCGCCTGCTCTCCCATTAAGACAACAGCCTATTAATCAAGTTCAGACCTGCTCTTTACACTTTGCAGTTCACCCAGGGTTCCTGACGTAAGCCCCAGGGAGAATCACAACAAACCACCCACACATAAGCATTCTAATTAAAAGCTCTTCATTAGAGGAGTGAATCCAGGATAAATTCCAAAAAAGTCAGCTGTGGATACAGTAAACGAGTCAGCAATGTTAACTCATGCAGCATGAATTATTTCTGGCTATTTACAAAAATGCAGCCCAAACCTGATCTTAGATGATCTTTCTATGATGCTTCTAATGCCTTGTCCACATGTACACGGGTATTTTTTAAAACGGTGTTTTTCCTCGTCCGTTATAAAAAAATCCCCGTCCACACGAACATTGTCTTCTAAAATATTTCCGTCCGCCTGAAACCACTAAAATGCACCGTCAAGAGCATGCCAAACCAACAGGCGGCATTATAACTCTAACCGTACTGCCATGTTAGCCAATCAGAAGCCTAATTGCCAGTCCTGTTAAGTTGAAAACCATGGCGCACATTCCGACGCCTGTGTTGATCAATATAATGCGAGAGTGATTCAACATTTATCTGTACACATGTAAGAAGTCCTGTCAGCAAGTTTAGCACAAGCACTATTCCAGCTAAGTCCGCCATTGCTCAAACTCGCCTAATGTATACAGCAAACAGCGCACGCTCTGACGTTAAACAAAGTGGACAACGGCACACAATCTGACGTTTCGAGCCAAAAACTCTGTTTTCACTGTCTACATGTCGACACTGAAAACGGAGTTTCTTAAAATCTTCACCCTGGATGGAGTTTTGCAAAAGCTCCGTTTTCAGTGACCTGAGACGCCGTTTACGTGTGGACAAAAGCCCAAGACGTATAGAAAAAGGTACGTTTTAAAAAATACTCGTGTACGTGTGGACAAGGCATAAAGCAAAAAAGAAAACCTGTTACTACGATAAAAAAAAATACTACAACCTAAACTAAGATGAACAATTACAAATTATAGCATCACCTCTGGGTAACACCCACATCATGTGATTTTTTCGACTGCACACTGGGCTGTTAAATTAAATATTTCTTATTTATATAAATTAAAGCAAACTGTAACCCTGTACTACATAAGTCGTATGGAAGACTGGTGGATGGAAGGATAATTTAAACTTCAATAAAAGCTTGCATGCTTAGTCACAGCCACGGCCGCAATTCAAAAATTAAACATAAAAATTAAAATAATTATATTGGCAATATAACCAAAGATATAAAATAAGCATGAAGTAGCTGAGGGTAACAGGCAGGGACAGTCCATCACAGGGCTCACATTCACCGGTCTCTCTGTCCACTCCCAGAGCTCCCCCACCCCCCAGGGTAAGTTAACGTGCAGGAAGCCAAGGTCCACAACCAGACAAACAAAGGCAAGCATCTGCATTTTGGCAGTGAGCTCAAACTCTAAAGTTCGCTGCTTGCGCTGCCTTTGACTTGAGCGCATCACTATCAAGAAACTGCAAACCCTTACAAACTGCAGGTGAGTCCGGAACCAGCTACCAGGGCTACCAGGTGAGGCCTTTACTGAAGCACCACCCTACACCGACCCCCCCAGGCCTCTGTTACATGAGTGCAAATACACCCAGGGCATGCTGCCTGGGGGGGGGGGGGCGAGAAGTGTGGACAGGCTGTGGTCCTTTTAGCCATAAACTTTAACCTACAAATACACCCCAACCCCAAGTCCTACCCACTATGAAGCAGCAGCATCAACACTGAGTTATTTCTGCAGCTCGTCCACAGACAGCAGCTCTGATACGGGGATCTGAGAGGACGTGACACTTTCTTTCTTGGTACTAAGAGTTTGTGCTGCTCCCCAGGCCGCTTTAGCTACTTACAGTATCTGCCACCTGACTGGCTGTTTCCCACACAGTTAAGCATGGATCCTGGACGTGCCGGATCCTGACCCTCGGGGGGGGGGGCAGATAATGAAAGTGCTCCTGCTGGTAGCCGGGCTTTATCTTCCAAATGTAAAGCGGGCAGAGCAGGGAGCAGAAAAGCAGCAATTAGGCGAGAGCTGACCCTGGTCCAGGAGCTCCAGGGAGAGGAAGCTCATCCAAGCGGCACTCGCCAGGCAAAAGGAGCCAGGATTGCGGGACTCGTCAGCCAAATGCTGCCCACCGAGTCTGGGGCTACGTGCGCCTCCTCATATTTAATCACGGTCAGGATGCCCATGGAGCCCGGGGCTACGTGCGCCTCCTCATCTTTAATCACGGCCAGGATGCCCATGGAGCCCGGGGCTACGTGCGCCTCCTCATNTAATCACGGCCAGGATGCCCATGGAGCCCGGGGCTACGTGCGCCTCCTCATCTTTAATCACGGCCAGGATGCCCATGGAGCCCGGGGCTACGTGCACCTCCTCATTTTTAATCACGGCCAGGCTGTCCACTATGCACGGGGCTACATGCGCCTCCTCATTTTTAATCATGGCTGGGCTGCTCATTGAGCCCGAGGCTATGTGCGCCTCCTCATCTTTAGTTACGGCCAGGATGCCCATGGAGCCCGGGGCTACATGCACCTCCTCATTTTTAATCGCAGCCAGGCTGTCCACTAAGCACGGGGCTATACGCGTCTCCTTGTCTTTAAATCACAGACAGGCTGCCCACTGAGCCTGGGGCTACGTGCACCTCCTCATCTTTAATCACGGCCAGGATGCCCTCTGAGCCTGGGGCTACGTGCACCTCCTCATCTTTAATCATGGCCAGGATGCCCATGGAGCCCGGAGCTACGTGCACCTCCTCATTTTTAATCACAGCCAGGATGCCCATGGAGCCCGGGGCTACGTGCGCCTCCTCATTTTTAATCACGGCCAGGATGCCCATGGAGCCCAAAGCTCCGAGCACCTCCTCATTTTTAATCACGGCCAGGCTGTCCACTATGCACGGGGCTATATGCGCCTCCTCATTTTTAATCATGGCTGGGCTGCTCATTGAGCCCAGGGCTATGTGCACCTCCGTGTCTTTAATCACGGCCAGGTTGCACATCGCCTCTCTCAAGCCACACTCAGCCTAAAGTGAGACGCAAGGCTGTAATGTCATTCCTTATGGCTGTAAAACACCCCTTTCGGAACAAGCTGGTCAGCAGCTGCATTGATTTACGCCACGTCTGATCCGTGAGGCTGAATCCGTTACACGCAGTCCAAGCGAGTCCAAGGAGCTGCCGTCCGTCTGAGGTTACACAGCCCCTGCCCACCCACAGACCACTCTAGGCCAGGGCTGAGCAATCTTATCCAGAAAGGACCATTGGTTTTTGCTGCAACTCCCTAATTAGATTACTAATTAAAGGACTGATTGGCTGAAGATTTTGAACAGCTGACTTACAGGTTATCCCAAAAACCTGCATACACACCGGCCCTTTGTGGATAAGATTGCCCACCCCCAAGTTGTTCATAATTGAGACAATTTATAATTAACCTTAAGTAAAAATGATAATTGTTCAATTACAACATGATATGAAGCTACAAAAATGAATAAGTGCCTTATCAACAGAGCATGCTGTATGAATTTGAATCATGCATTTTGCACATAGATGTCACATTACCAAACCTTACAGGTATTCTGGGGGGGGCTCAGGTGTTCAATCGCGGGGTTTGTTCCATCAGTCTGTCATACCCACAGGCACAGGATTCTTCACATGCTGCTTTGTGGGGCTGAAGAGCAGGATCTCCTCATCTACTCATGGCCTGCTTTGTGAGGCTTAGCTTAACCCATCCACCCACCAACACCCTACTTCATGGTGTCAGTCCCATCATGACCGAATGGATTCCATTTCCTGCAAAGGAAGGTTTCGCTCCCTTTCCTGGACGTGCGTCGCGTGCTGCTGGTCTCCTCGGGCTCAGTTCCACAGACTCCAAGGCCCCCCGCACAGAGTCGCTGGTGTTTGGGTGAATGTGAAGGACACCCCGAACGACAGTGCCCCCCACCAAGCAGCAGGCCTGAAGGGGATCCCGCTCAGCCCACTGTGATGCTTGCAAGCATCAAAGCAGCATATGAAGACTCCAGGGTCTGTGGGTACGACCGACTGATGGAATGAGCTCCGTGATTAAAAATACCAAGTCACTGCCGGCAATTGCCTCCATTGTGCCATTTACATCACTGACACACTGCGTCCATTGAGCAACATCTATTGTGCAAAGGCTGACTCTCTTTTCACTCAGCTTTATCACTGTGGGACACAGTGCCCAGGCCGATTGATTAAATAGTCACCCTGCCCCGATACGTGCCATGATGTGCATCCAGCAAATGACATCACCGTTAGAGAGTATGTCCCCTGACTGTGCAGAGCCACAGCCAGCCTGGTGGAGCATCTTAAATGAAGCTGGCATGGCCTTCTGATGCATCACCTCCTGGAGCGTCTCCCATTCTAATGGCGGTCTGGCAATGGGCCCAGTTAATCTGGGCAGGAGGCAGTATGAGAGAGGGGGGGTCCGAGCTCAAGGTCTGTGCAGCGTGAAGCACTCTCTGCCTGGACTTTAGCACTCAGTTTATCTCAGTGCTTCAATCACTCAGTGACCTGTAAGGGTCAGAAAGGGCCAGGCCTGCTCACTCAGGCAGATTCAGGCCAGCATCTGAGTTTGAATCAGCTGAAATGCAATAAATTAACGGTGATGATGGATTGGAGATTCCAGTTCATTTCAGTGTGAAGGAAGTGTGAAGAAAGTGCAAGATTCACAAAATGTACACTTAAATCAAAAAAACATAATGCAGCTCTATTTCCACCAGAAGTGTCAGAAGGTAGTGGAGCCATTCATGAATATTCAATCCCTCAGCCCTGACTGGCTGACAGGAGCCCAACCCAAAATGTGATTGGTCTATGAAAAGGCCACTGCTGGCATGGTGCAGAGCCCTGCAAAGCAGAAGGTCTTTCCGGCCCGAGACTTCAGGATGGAAACAGTCCATCTCCTGTACTACGCAAGCAAACAGCACAAACTTATAAATCATGCATCTGCACATCACCGTGACTCCGCAGCCCCGAAGTGTAATGTTTCAAACCCTGCCCCAGACTATTCAGACCATCTCATGAAACTATTTCATAACACTGTAAGGGACAAAAACGAATTTCCAGGACAATAACTTAACACTCCGCTGACCAGCAGCCCAGTGTAGGGACACAGCTGAACGTTAGGACTGAAAGTGACCCTGATGTGACTATCACGTTGTCGCCACTATGAAAGCGGAAAATGTACTAAAAGGCACTGTGTCACATGTGCCGTATGAGCAGTGCCCTTTCCCCAATGGGTTTCTCTGCTTCCAGTGGCAGCATGAAAGCTGCCAAACAGGAAAGAGCAGCCAGAGCAGAATTAAAGTGCTGTTTGCCTGGTATCCCTGCCTGAGGGTCGGGCAGCGAGGAATTTCAGGTTCAGCTGGCTGTGGAGGGCCTGCCTGCCAACCCCACTGTATTCCACTGATCTGCACTCACATACATTCTATGCATATCTATCTATATTCATATTTAACTATCTATATTACATATATAATGAATCACACAAAAATAAAAAATAAATATGATCTTTTAGGCTTACATAGGCGCAACTTGGATGACACTGTCACACATTTGGTCGCTTTTGTCACTTTGGTCTTTCTGTAAGACTGACACTACACCCCTTAATCGGCTTCCATGTATTTATCAGGGTGGGAAGGAGCGAAACCAGTAGCAAGACAACCATCACTTAAGTCCGGCAATGTTCCGCCAATCACCCACCCAGTAAACAACAGGCAGCAATGAGGGGGAAAAAAACAGCAAAGCCACATGCAGCACGCAGCATTCATGAAGACCTGCATTCTGCCCCCTTTTCCTCAGGAGGTTTTGCATTCCGGTCAAAACAACATGGTCATTGCCTGGGCATGTGGGTCACTAAACAGGTGTAAATCTTTGACCCACAGAAGAGAGCACGATGCACAATGGAACTGGCCACAGCATGGCGGCAGGTACCACAGACACACACACATATACAGACACACAGAGAGAGGCAGGCTCTTGAGGACCTGTCTTTGCCATGTGAGCATGCCTCTGGAGAGCGAGAGACGTGTCCCAGAAACAGTCCATGCCCGGACCCATACTTGCCTCGGCTCAGACGCTGCTTAATAACACTTTGAGACACCTGTCATTGAGGAACACGACATCAGTGCGATCGTTAGTGCAGAACACTTTATACATTCTTCTTGAGAAAAATCATCAATCCTGGAATGGGGGGCTGCTGTAAATCTAGAAAACTGCTCAGTGATTCTCGGAGCAACAAAACACTGTACTTAAATTTCACGACATCACCAAAGATTACGGTAACATGAGTGGATGGTGGCTCACTGGGTAGCAGTCACCTCACACTGCCAGGGTTGGGGATTTAAATCCCACCTCTACTCTGTGTGTGTGTGTGTGTGTGTGTGTGTGTGTGTGTGTGTGTGTGTGTGTGTTCTCCCCGTGTAATGTAGGTTTCCTCCCACAGTCCAAAGACATACAGTTAGGCTAAGTGGTGTCTCCAAATTGCCTGCGGTGTATAATTATGAAAAAGACCGGCATCCCACCTTGGGTGTGCCCTGTGCTGCCTGGCATAGGCTCCAGCCCCCCCAGATAAGTTGTTAGAAGATACCAGGGAATGTATGTCATATTTCTTAAAGAGCTTAAGCAAAAATAAATAGCTACCTCGATAACTATGAAAAAAGATATCTCAGATGAATGTCACTTTTATGAACATTATAGCACTTAGGCTAGTTAAACTATACAAATGCATCCGTGAAACAAATAAAAGGTTTAAAAATAAATTTCCTTAATGTTGTTTATGTTTGGGACTTCAACGATAAAAACCTGAACCTTGGTACTGGATCGACTAGCCGAACAAACTCTTCGACAGTTACAATGGATAGCAAATTCCCGTGTGACTCGGTAAAGTTCAGCCCCACAGTGAAAGTTATTATTAATGTAATAAGCGGCAGATCTTAAGAGCGTGTCTGACAGCGATCAAAAGCAGGGAAATGATGAACAATGTTTGCTATAGGAAGTGGCAGGCATAAGCCTGGCATGCTAGACAGGCGAGGTAAACGCACGGGCGGCGGAGGCGGACGGCGATCGCGGCTGACAGCGCGTTTCTGCTCGGCGACAGAGGAAAAAACAGCGGAAAAACAAACTTACCCGCTAAGATCGCTTTGCCAGGATGAGTTAATTTTGCTTTCTCTCCCGGAGCTGCAGCCGCCAAACACTGCGGTCTGTGAAAGCGACTGACAAACACGGGATTCCCTGACATATCTGCAAACTAAACTTACAACTTACTACAACTAAGTAATATAAAAAAATACGGCTCTTTTTGGTCAATGTGGCTTTTGAATTACTAGTTGGGGTAAAGAGCAGCGCGGACAGGTGGGAAGGCGACGGGAAATAAGCTAAATGAACATAACGATGGCAGAGGAGCGCAAAGACATGGGAACCGTCTGCGATCCGGTTGTTTTCGCAACTCCTGACAGCGGCTCCGCCTGCCCCGCTGGACGCCCTACGGCTCAGATGGGCGCTCCGGTTCCGGCCCCTTTCGAGGCGAGGCGGGGCTGGGCGGAGCGTCACATCCTTAACAAAGAAAAATCTCACTTTAAGGTAGACTGATGCAATCCCTTAACAGCATTGTGGTGCTGGAGAAATAATTCGTGTATAGGTTGGCTAAAAAGAAAAATATATCGTGAATAATGTAATATACCATTCCCAGATACATAAATGCATTTGAATGCTTTATGGATACTTACATTTTGTAAGTTACGAAAAATAGAAATGGCGGTTAGACGTTCCACCTAATATGAGATCAGCTATAATACCAAGTTGCACACCTTCAGTCATATGAATTGCATCTGTTAATCAGTACAGCCCCAAAAATCGGCTTAAATCAGTCGTATTTAATTGTTGATTAAATTACCGTAACTTAAAGGTCTTGTTTCATGATCCCTTCCCGATTCATATTCCGTGACGAAAATAAATAAGCAAACAAGTAAATTACAGACAAGCACAAGATATGCGGTTTATTTTCATACAGCTCTGGTAAATGAGACTGCAATCCAGATATGAGTAAGACCGTAACGTTTGTGGGGGGAAACATCTGAAGACTGTGTACAGGTTAGCCCAAAATGGAGGAGTGCGCTTTGTAACTTCATCCCCCGGAAATATTTGGCAACTATTCTTCTGCTGTAACACCGGACCGGTTACTACTCAGGTTTAGGTGGCGAAGCTAAGTGAAATTGAAACAGTATTCAACACCACATTTTATTTAATTTTCCAGGCAGCCATTTTAACCTTAGCACAACGCCCCTGGGCGTTTGTATAAAAAAGTTTAAATAACTGGGGGAAAATATTCAGATGAGAACCGCCTTTAATATAAGCACCCGACGACACACGGGCAATTGCATTTTCTTAGACACATACAGAGAACAAAGTTGTCACCCTCTTCTGGTTTATACCCGTAGGGGAAAATAGTACAGATGATCACAACCTGCTGAGCGGAGAGATGGGCGGGGGTCTCCTGCGATAAACTTTGCAGACAGGAAGGGCTGCGATAAAATTTGCCGAGCGGAAGGTTTGAAACGTATACGAAAATACGGGACAAATGGTTTTAGAATAATTATTTTTCAGGGTGCTGAAGCCCAACTAAATAGGCGCTAGGGGCGTCGGTCTGAGGAATTGTAACACTTATACACAAGCAAAGCGCCATAAATGCGCTGATTACAAGGGGACTTTTCCACGTCGGCATTGGGACCCTCTTCAGCTGTCTATGAAAGGCTGATCGCAGGATTTTTTATTTTTAAAAAAAACCTCGCCCAAATTTCTTAAGACATTGAAATTGTCATGTCATGCTTCCTTCTGAGGCCCGTGGTGCTGAGACCCGAGGGGCGTGAACCTCAAAATTGCGCCCATTCATCGGCTGAAATGAATACAAACGGGCAAATTTACACGCATGTTTTCAATGCTTTCAGCTTTGTTTCATTGCTGTATACCTAATCAATGCACAAAGTTAATGAAGCACAACCTAGCGCATCACTTTTATATTGTAATGGCTAGATTTACACAGGAGTCATGGAAAATGTTCTGTAATTTTGAAAATTATCATCGTACTGAATGGAAATTTGGATTTTTTTAATGACACATTAACTTTGTGCTATATGAGGGGATAATAAAAATTGGCAAATTAAAAATCTTAAAAGTCCATTAATTAAAGGAATCAATTATCGATCAGAGCAGAGTAACAGTATGTGGTGATGCGGTTGGAAGGAAGGAAGGAAGGATATCGCTCAATTCTTTACGTATAGCAGAAAAAAAACATTAATTCAGCACAATGTTTCCCAACCCAATCCTAAGGGACTCACAGATGGTCCATGTTTTTGCTCCCTCCCAGCACTCTGCCAAACAGTCCACATCTTTGCCCCGGTAGGGAGCTGGGATGGAGCAAAAATTTGGACTGTCTGTGGGTCCCAAAGGACCAGGTTGGGAGACACTGATTTAGTAAATCAAAGCTACTAGTTATGGTGCTGGCTGGCATTAACACTGAAACACAGTAGTAGCCAATTTCCACTTAACTGCACCCATCATGCCAGTGTCAGATATGTATTTTTTCCTCAAGAAGTGCATGTTTCATGCAGGACGCATCACAAGTTAAGTTCACTACAGTAGAAAGATCTTTAACCTGAAGAATCGCACTGCCGTCTGGAAAGTGGCCCCCAGTGCAATCAGATGCCGGACAATCAGACTGAGAAACAGCTACTTCCCCAGATCTGTGGCTCTCAGACCCCGAACACCCTTCCCAACCCCCCAGAACTGTTCATTTTTCCACACATTACCTCCCCATTTTAAAAAAATACAGGAACTATTAACACACACTGCCACTAATATTTGCTTATTTATATTTTATATTATTTTTTTTCCTTGTGCATTATTGCTGTCTCTAGCTGGCACTTTATTTAGGAAGTACCTGTTTTTCTGACTTATCGTTTTAAAATTGCTGCACAAGAACTGTCAACAAAATGTCATTGCACTGCAGTATAATGACAGTAAAGCTCTCATCTCTTATCTCAGTATTCTTATTAATGAATATTCTTAGTGTTCAGGGATATGGCTGAGAAAATGAACTGAAATCAGAAAAGCTCTCATAGGTCGGCAGGGATGGGGGACAGAAACACAACAAAATGTTGCAAAGCGAATGGCAGGAAACGAGAAGAACATGGATCCTGCCTGAGTGGCTGTAGAAGCTGCAAAGTGCTTTCAAACAGCTTTGGAAGCATAACTGTTCCCAGCAGATTCGCCGCATGGTTTTTCCCAGGCAGCCACATATCACTTCATCAGGCTTGTTACATAATGTTCCCACAAATTATTGATTCATCAAAACACCTATTTGAAAGTTTTTTGAGTTACACTAATATAAAATGTTTAAAGACATTGTGCTTCACACCAACATCAATTTCTCAAAACAAGATTTGCCTACTTTACACTGCCCATAGTTCATATCCATTTCTCCCACTAGAGGGCAGAGTACAACATCCACAAATTAGCATTTTCTCAGAACAAAAAGGCTTCATTATCACATTCTACATGAACCAAAGGGCACTTTATATATAGCACAAGGAGGAAGATTCCTTCCCATCCTCTGCAGAAAGTTTGAGTTTTTGAACCAATCAGTTACATAATACTGGAAGCTCTAGGAAAGACCAGCTCTTACAGAACGTGCCAGCTCAGATGGATGAGAGAAGGAAAATCAACAAACATCTTAAAAGGTTCTTCATTTTCCCATGTCCTCCTTTAATTCTATGTATCACTTTCATTTCACATTACATGGTGAAAATTTCTGCATCTTTTTATCATTCTAACTCCCAGAGTAAATATTTTGTCAATGCAGTAACTGTTAACTAAACACAAGAACATTTCAACTTCGAGAGCTGAAACAGACTTTAAATGCTTCTAGCTTGGCCTGCAGGGAGAAAGTGGAATCTATGAAACAGAGACAATGTGTGTAAACTTTATTTCTCCTTCAGAAGGCATGACTTGTGCAGGAAGGGAAGGAAACACTTTATAGCTGAGAATCTGTTGAACCCAAATGTTTGGCCAACAGCAGGACGGAAGGAACCGCTGAAGAGCCCAGTCAGCAGAACTCCATAGCAGAGATGCGGTGGCAGGGGCACTGGCTGTCAATACAGGAGCTACATAACATTTTCAAGCCTGCTACTTAAAATTGAAAAAAGAAATCTGTTGACACGTGCTGAATAATTTGTTTTTGTATTTGTTTTTTTTTTTAAAAATATTACTATGCTTAAGACTACAACAATGCACTATAGACAATACATATGGTTTTATATTATATTGGTGTTTGATTAATTAGGAATAGTAACATTTCATTACCTTAAATTATACATTTTCAGTACATTAAAATGATGATACTACTTTGGAAAAGTGGTACAGCGATATAATCCATTTATCCTGTATCTTATTTCTTCAACGCATTTGAACTATTTAAAATGTTCCTTGTGGCTCTACCTGACCCTTTCGTAAGAAAGGCTGAATTCTTCACAACACACATTTCAAGGGTCTTCTCACTACATCGGTAACACTTTCACCACATCTAAATTGTGCTCCTTTTTGCATCGTTACAGCTTTATACGGCTTGCCAGTACATGCACAAACAAGTACACTGTAAGTTCGCTACTCCTTGCTCAAGACTACCGTCCGCAGGACTGCAGAGCCCTGTACCATTAGTCAATGTGAGGGTCAGTATACTTCAGCCTGGCTCCCATGACTACTTGTGGCAACACTGTAGGGAAACAAAGACCAGCATGTGCCTCACTGTAGTGATGAGTGGCACTGCTGAAGAGGGACGTTGGCGTTATCTACATTCCACCATGCTTAGAACACGAAACTGAACTAACCCCTCCCCCCACATGTAGCACCTGCAGGAAGCTGATTAGTGTTGTTATTCTACCACAAAAACATAATGGGCATCCGCAGCAGGTCAATATGCAGTTATTCAAATGTCCAAAAAAAGAGAGGTGCAAACCAAGACTTACCCTCCCCATGATACAATGTACATATGGAGTATAAAGACCCTCCCACACAGTGTCATTTCAGAATCAGTGCTGCCAGCTCACAATTAACATGACAATGGGAAAGCCGCAGTATCCTTCAGGTGGAGTGTGACGGAGACTGGACAAGAGGATGGGCAGGGTAACGAGCACGCAGAAGCAGGCCGTGTCGCGACAGGAGCTGGGCATTGTCTTCATGCTGCGCGGAGCTGGCTTGGTGATAACAAAAAGGCGTGATGTGCTGTGTGAATCCCTAGCTTGCCATTGGATAGGTGAGGTTGATGTGGGCGGAGCAGGTGTGGGCCCCGCCTTCACATGTTGTAGCCATAGGTGGGCTGGGTGTACGGAGGTGCAGCATAGCCGTAACCTGGGTACCCAGGCTGGGGGGGCACAGTGCTTGGGCCAGCTGTCAACATCAGCTGCTGGCCTGTAGGATGAGGGTGGACATAACAGGAAGGTTACATGCCAGCAAAGACAGACACAGACACACTTAAGAAGCCTGTCTGGAATCATGGTGCTTTAAGTGGCCAACTTGATCACACATACACTCACAGCTGTAAGTGCATACAGCAACTCATGCAAGGCTCGGCCCTCAGTGTGTGCTATATCACTATTTATCACTTTCAAATCAGTAAATGCTGCATTTTCTGAGTTGAGCAGGAGCTGCCAGGTCCAAGTCAGCACAGAAGTGGAAGGAGCAGAGACTCGCCGGGCTGAAGGTAACCACGACAACATGACACACATACCAAACACAATGGGAGTGGGCTCTGTCACCTCCTCCTCAGTCTTCCTTTGGCTTTCTGAAGCTTCCAGTTTGTCTACCTGCAGGTGAAAAGGGAAGCTTGCTTCACTTGTGTGCCCCAGATGGCACATCTCCAGGTGTCCACAAAAGGAAAATGTGACTGCAGGACATGATGCTGCTTAAAGGTTTAGATAATTTCCCCCACAAATCTGCCAATCAAGTCAAAACTTCTATCCAGATAATCTGCTTATTTTCTTAACACATTTTAAAATACATACTATTCTAAATATTACTCAGTAGTTTACTGTAATATTTCAATGGAGACAACAGAAAAACGAAGCTCTAGTCACTCAGAATTATTAATAAGGTTGTGTGTACTAAGTAGTCTTAGGTCTTCATCATGAGCAACACCTCCAAACAAAAGGCAGGTCTAGTAAATAATTTAAAATAGCACTTAGGAATTGACTTGATTGTTAAATTGAAGGGCAAATAAATGCTAAGAACCAGTAAGTGCCACTGAGCAGGCAAACAAAACACAGTTCTCAAAATTCCACAAAGACAGCCTGTAAGCCAGTGACTCAGCAATGCTGACATCCTGGGTCAATGACACAGTCACTCATTCTGCCAGAACAACTGGCAAGCACCATGTACAGCTCAAGCTTTTTAACAACATTACAAGACATCATTAATGCTGTAATATCATCCATCCATTATAGCAGCCGCTTAATCTCCACTGGGGTCGCAGGGGGCCGGAGCCTATCCCGGGAACAACGGGCGCCAATACAATGCAGGGCACAGACACTCACACTCACACTACAGAGCCAATTTAAACACGCCAATCAGTGCAAACTCCACACAGAAAGGACCAGGTGCTAACCACTGCACCACCATGCCACCTTAATGCCATAACACCACATCCAAATCACACTTAAACTCTATTGCAGTTCCCATGAATCGTTCCAAGAGAGACAAAAATAATCTTTCTATTACAGATGACAAGCACTCCAATCATGCAAATATGTATTTATATACACTAAACAAAATGAGATACTCCCCAGTAATCCATAAGAAAGCATATTTTAATGTGCTGGACAGTACCACTTCCTTGCAAAGTCATTTAAGTTAAGTACATGCAAGCAAATATCTTCTAAAGCCAAAGTTAGCAGAAGCATTAAAATCGCAAAATATTAAAATAAATATGGTTTCTGATTTGACGGTGAAACCAAATAAGGCTTTTATACTGTTAATATGCTAACTTGATGGCATTTAGAAATGTCAAACTTCTCATGCTAGAGAAAAACAATTTCATTTTCAATCAAGATAATGATAAACAATAGTAATAAAGCAATTTTAAAAGTACTTAGCACTACCTGTACTCAATTTAAGTAATCATTATGTCAATTCAAGCAATCTTAAATGTTTTTTTAATAACAAAGAAAATCAGTTTTCTTTGGGGGTGGCGGGTGTGCTGGAACCAGGTGGTTAACACATTTTACAATTTCACAGCGCTTTCCCAGTTTATGATTACAAATGGGACTCCCGTACATGAAAAATAAGTGCCAGAGATCTAGTCTGAGATGGATGCTCCAGTGATGTTTTTATGGGGACAGGGACAGATTTCCCTACAGGACTGTCTGAAACACTTTGGGTGTGACAGCAGTGCTTGTAGAATTAGTATAAACACTCCTTAAAGATGCATTCAGTTACTGCAAAGGGCCAAGACAACTTGTTAAAACTGAAGCAAGGCTGACACATGTGTTAGAAGAGCATCATAGTTAGACATTCACTATAACTACAGGTAGGTTCCTATATCAGAAACCTAGATCTATGTTACGACAGCAAAAGGAGGAGAAAAATTAAAAGGCAGAGACCGTCACCTTCGCCGCAATCAGATCGACCTGTAAGAAAATCCAGAGTCAGGATCCTCACAGCGCCAGCATCAGTTTTTTTTTCTGTGTTATTCTGTTGTTTTTTAAAAACATTGTCCTCCATGAAGGATCACAGGGTTTCACAAAGACACTTAAAATTACATAAAATGGAGTTTTGCCAATGGACTGTGAAACTGTCTTCTTGCAGCAAAAGAATCAATGTAGTTCTACAAAACCCATTTTAAAACCACATTCACAGCTGAGATGAGTGCAGTCCTGAAGATTAGACACCATGCCTTTTTCTGGAAGTTCCTACGGTTGTAATGCAAACCAACTGAAGGCAGACTGAAAGGGAATATAGACACAGTGCTAATAGTCACATTACTTTTGGGAACAATTTTTTGGCTATAATTATAAGCTTCCAGAACCCGATACTATATAACCAGCTGGAACATAGATGGATAAATATGTCAGTGTGCACTATTCTCCTTCTTATTTGTCTGAGGTCCGATACACCCCACACAATGTTCCCAAGCTCTCTTTGCCTTTTACAGTTCGTATAAAATAAGCAAAGAAAGGTATCTACACTGGCTTCCATTTTCTAGATCACACACAATAATCCACGGAAGTCATTAATCATTATAGATTAAATAAAACCATCACATCCACTCTGAAAATAGCAGACATGACTATCTCATCTGAAAGGCCAACATGTACAATACGTACTGAATGGATGTTAAGAGACACCCGTCTGGCTTCCAGACCAAACCGTGAATTAGACACTACAGAAAGCAAAACATCCGTGAAGACGACAAAAAAGCAATTCAAAATCCAAAAGCATGCCTCTCTATCACTGCACCCACACAGGACTAAACTGACAGAACGTATCAGTAGTAAGTGGTGGGAATATTGTCATATATTACATTTTAAGTCATAAATAAACACGCTACCTGCAAATGAACAATATTTTTGGAGATGACCCTACATTTATTTTGACCAAATAAAAAAAATAATAATAATAAATCAACAAAACCTGAGGCTATTGTTATGTGGCCACTGCACGGCAGCCTGGGTAGTGTTCCAGATCTTCAGACTCACCTTAGTCAAGTACTCCCTCATCACCTGGATGAAGTAGGGCATGGCGAAATCCATGATGCGGTGCCTCCAGGCCAGCTCCAGCACCACGTCCGGGTGCAGCAGGTCGTAGGAGGCGAAGAGGCAGGCCGCAAAGCACTCCTTCTTGCCCTCCTCCAGGAACCACTGCAGGAGCTTCTCTGCCAGTTCTGAGTCCTTGGACTCGGCCGCGTAAAGCATGGCATCCTGGGACAAGTGGGAAGGTGTGAGGTCATTATAGCATGGCTAGAATGTTTGATGAAGTAGTTTAAACGTTTACAAAGGCTTATAGGATTTAAGTTTATTTTTGACATTATTAGCATGCATTTTGTAACAGGCCTGTGATAACAGTCAACAGGTTAGCACTGAGGTAAATACTTCTGCATGATAATATGCATAATAGTCTTGGCTAGCACAGTTAGCAGGCTAGCATCCTAGGACAAGTCCACAGTCAGCTAGGATAATGTGGTCTGAAAAGGGGTATATGATGCGTTTCAGGAACCTTTTTAATAATTAGAGAAATGACTTACAGGTCTAAAAAATCATTAAGAAAACAGAAACCAGAAGAAGCATCAATGCTGACACAGCATTAAAGCGGCGAATCCCCTGAAAGGTGGTCCTCTGAGGGCTCCCCTGACTGGCGGCCCACCTTGTATAGTCGGTCCTTCTTGCACAGCTCCACGCTCTGTTTCCAACGGTTGTTGCCCTTGTAGAGGTATGCGGCAATACGGCGGAACTCAATCAGCTCGTGCTTCTCCAGCCTCTGCGCCAGGCTGATGTTGTCAAAGTTATCGTACGCATCGATGGAGGCCCTCAGACCCTGAAAAGGCAACCATGCAAATGGTTTGGACATGCATAACCTCCTGAGACCCCACCCATTCATTTATGTCAATTGTAGTGGACATTTATTTTTGCATCTATCTTTTCACTGATTTTAGGAAACGTATTTATTCCTGTTGTACACTAAAGAGGACATGCTGTGAAATTTAAAAAAAAAATAAAAAATTGTAAAAATCTAAATTGTAAGATGTCTTATTTCCTCCAAAGACAAATAACCTAAAATTGAAGGACACTTTCTTCCTTGGGTCTCAGGAGGATATAGACCAGCAAACCAGAGTGGTCCACATAATATTTATCATGTGGAGACCTTTATTAACTCCAAAGCACAAACAATTCTCATAATGGGGGGTGGGATGACATTCAGTACAGTCATCACTGTATGATGAGGAACAGAAGACACACATTTTAACACTTTCTTTTTTTGCAATTTATGAAATGGACCAGACTGATTTAGCCATAGAATTTCAGGTCAGAAGAGGCCAAAACAGGGACTGCTGAACATTCCTGAGACAGACTGAGCCCAAACAGAGCCTTGGGCTTGACAGCAGCTGGTCACCTGGAAGTCCTCCTCCTCTGTAAGGAGCATGTTTAAGGCCTCGTTGACCCCTTTGTTGTTGTGGCTCTGCACAGACCGGAGATAAGGCTTGACGAGCTTCAGCTGGTCCATCTGTTAGGCATGGACAAAAAAAACCATGTTAAGATTGTTGGTAAGTTGATCTACATCCATTTCTTTGACCTGAGAACAGAGCCCTTGTAATGTATTGGCTGACATCCCCTCACACACCACCTTCCCAGTGTGATCTATAACAGAGCTCATCAGCAAATTGTTCAGAGAACAGAAAGTCAGTTCCAGCGGACGACCTTAGGAGAACCAAGACCAGCTTGAACGTAGCTTTTCACAGTGTGCTGACTGACAATTCAGCTGAAAGCACTGTGCCCCCACCCCCCTTCCTCCCCCCCATTGCCACTGTATGCTCCCTACCTTGGAGAAGAAAGCAACAGCTCTCGTGTGGTCCAGCCGAGGAGAAAGGACAGCCAGCAGGTCATTTATCAGGAGGGGCTTATAGTCCAGGTAGAACTGCAGGGCCTTATAGTACAGCTCCACATTAGCCACCTGTAAAGGGATACAGACCACAAATCAATACAACACCACTATTATTATTATCATTATTATTATTATTATTATCATCAATATGGTAGGATTTATGTCTCTGACTTGCAGTGCTTACAGTGCGACTTTGTGCAGGGTGTCAGCTCACCTTGGTGATGATGTCCTTGAACTGGCCCTCTTTCCAGCCATCAGTGGGGTGGTTCATCATGGTGATGACTGCATTGTCATACTCTTCATACTTGTCGTAGAGGAAGACAAGCTCCCCCCACAGGTGTGCTTGTTCAGCAGCACGGAGCACCTGGTCAGCAATGTTGACAATAAGTTGACATTGATAATTAGTAAGACGCCCATCATAGCTCGCCTGCTTCTAGGACGGTACCTTGGGGATGTTGACCCGGGACCAGAAGAGCTCCAGGTGCTCCCTCATCTTCTGCGGTTTGAACTTTGAGTAGAGGATGGCCAGCTCTGTGAACATGCCCATATGGGCACGTTCCAGGCCTAGTGCTGCTTCCAGCAGAGCTATCAGCTCTTCAAAGTATCCCCGGTCCTGGAAGATGAGACAAGGCACAACCCCTTTAAGGTCTAAGGAGGGTGTCTGGTCCAGAGTGTCTTACTGATCACACTTCTGTATATGTTGATTGCCTTTGACTAGGTGCACTACCTATGCATTCCCTAAGAATCACTCTTTGCTAGTGTTTGGCCTTTATTCTCAGACAACCAACTACACTATTACAATCACACCTCGGCAAAAACTGGCTGATGACTGACTGCACTCCTCTGAGGCAGAGTGTGTCACTCCGAAAACCTATTTACAGCACACAGACTGGCCAAGACCTTTGCATCTACAGTACTTACAGCACACAGACTGGCCAAGACCTTTGCATCTACAGTACTTACAGCACACAGACTGGCCAAGACCTTTGCATCTACAGTACTCATTCTCATTGCACTTATTGTGCTGTAGTACATGCATTAACACAAGAGATTCTAAATATTACAGCAACATAGTTCTAAAAGCAAGGAAGTTGCATCTTGGTAGTGCCAATATGAGCTGCCAGCATACCTGATAATAAGTAATGAGCTCCTCCAGTTCATCGGCGTGGATGACGATGTGGAGGCCGCAAATCTGGGCCAGCCGGAACTCTGTGCCATCCACACAGGCAAAGCACACCTAGTGCAGGAGAGCCCATGTGAAGCCAGATAATGTACAACATTCATCTGTCACATCACAACACAACACAACACCCATGCAAGTCTGATAGGGTTTGGTAGAAATGAAAACCCAAGGGATTTAGGGATGGGATACTAACAGTTGTTTCACAGCCTGAAGGGTTGTGTGTGTGGAGGGGGGGGGGGCATCGAAAGAGCAAGGGGAGGACTTACTTCCTTCCAGGTGCGAGTGCTGTTGGCCTTGCGAGCGCTGTCAACGGCTGCCTGGTATTCACCCAGGTGCACCAGTGTGGAGGCCAGCCGGGCAAAGTTGGACACATTGTTGTACAGGAGCTTGGCTGCGTCATACATGCCGTCGTCATAGCAGCGGTCTCCCACCTGCAGTGTGGGAGGAGAAGTCAGTCTCACAGGCTAAAGGGGATCCATGTGAAGCTGGACAACCACAACTGTCCCAGGCATGCGGCAACCCCTGTCATGAGACTTCAATTTGTTCGGTATGAATGGAATAAAACAAAAACAAAGACTCAAGGCGACACACGACATGTAGCCCAAGTGATTCAGGATACTTTCAAAGAGTCTGGCCAGGGTAAGGTCATACCTGCTGGATGTGAGCATTGTTGGGGCCGCTCACAAACTCCTCAAGCTCTGACAGTCGGTTGGTCTTTGCCAGGGCAAAGATCAGCTCCGTCTCCACGTAGGACTCCCTTGCCTTCTTGCGAGCCATTTGCAGGAACTTCACCAGGTCCTCCCAGTTATCTGAGGAGTCAGAAAACAACTTAGTCTCCCAGTCCATATTCCAAAATAGAAAATACAGTTGTATTTTCTTTTCATATTTGTATATGAAATATCAACGACACAATGAGTCTCCAAATCTCTTTCACATATCGATTGACTGAAGTTGAAAAATCTGCCAAATGCAGTTTACTAAAGTCAGCCAAATGTGATTTTCAGATCAGAGTCAGCTGTCTCCCTGCATAAAGCCAGCAAACAGGTATGTTTGTATCTTTCCTGCGGTCTCTTCACAAACATGATTAATTATCCTGACATCACGAGAATGACAAGTGCCTTCCTCATCTATGAGAACCATCACCACCATTAAACCATGATCATTAAACTTGTGCACAGATGGGTAACTGCAGCCAGAGAGTGTTTAAGAAGGACTGAAGAGAAACAGCACTTATATACCAGTAATACACACAATTCAACTGTTTTCTATAAAGTTTTAAACATTCCCTGCCACCGATATCCATAGTTATCAGCTTGACACTTCTATTCACACAGATGGTGAACATTTAATGCTATTTGTGTTTGTAGGCACCAGAACTTCTCACATATATTTTCAGAGTTCCCAGCAGAATTATACACATGTAAAAAGCAGAAGAATTCTCCTGATCCTTCAGGATTGTGCCACAGACTGAGCTAAGGGGTCCCACTGCAGCTCCTTACTGTTTCGGCTTGCCGCGCTGACCACCTCCATGTAAGCAGAGGGATCATCTGCCTTGATGTAGGAGTCGATGGCCTCCTTGACCAGCTCCTTCTGCAGCTGTGCGCGGCCCAGCTGGCTCCAAACAGCAGGCTCATTGCAGCGCTCGGCGAACTCATAGGCCCGATCGAGATTCCCAATGTGCTCAATCAGAACCTGAAAGCCAAAGAGTAGCAGCAAAGAGGCATTCAAACTACAAAGATGTGCGACCAAATGCAGAACAATCAGTAGTCACCACTTCATTTAAGCTCCAAAAAAAGGCAGCCACATGATGACTGTGGTATCTCAGTACAATGATGCTTTTAACACTGTCATGATAAACACTGAGGCTCTGATTACTTTTCTTTTTTCACATATTTCCACCTCAGATGTTTCAAACCTAAGGTAGCACACGCATATGCAGGTGCATACAAAAGCATGACTCGAGAGACCATAGCTGCATGCTCTACTGGAAGAAGCATTTCATTTTTACCTGGATGGCAGATGTGTTGACATCGAACTTGCGGAAGATGGCAAACGCTTCCTCAAACAGCTCGTTGCTGATGGCGATGTTGGCAATGTCAGGGGCATCATAGTTGTCCAGCCTGTTGATGTATTCCATCACACGGGTACGATCGGCTTTGATGGCTGTCAGGATGAGGAGATTCTGCAGGTTCCTGTCACATTAAGAAAAAAATGTTAGATGTTAACTGAATACAGTAAAATCCAGTTATAATGGACTTCAAGGGACCTGGCAAAACAGTCCGTTATATCTAAAGTCCGTTATGTCCAGAGTTGCTGTATGCCCAGAACACAACTACATGACACACCACAGCAGACACACTTGTGCTATAGATTATTATATTGTACATGTAGTAATCCAACTTTACCTGACTAGATGCGTGACTATTAATAATCCCGACTACGTACGTATCTGCGCTGGATATCACCGGCACGCCACGCGCCTTGTAGACGGAGCCTGCATACCCGTTACAGCCGAACAAAACTACAGCTAAAAGCGGCCCTGGGGACCAAATTGTTTGTCCGTTATAAGCGAAATTCCATTATATGCGAGTCCGCTATATCCGATGCTTCTTCTGCATGTTCTTAAAGGCACACAGCCGGGACCAGCGGACCTTGTCCATACAGTAGGTAGGGTTGTTACTTATTGGTTATATTAATATTCGAGTAATCTACCAATTAATTTGACGGATAAAAAGTGTGTATATGGTAGGTGTATATATACAGAACCCCCCCTATTATTGGCACGCCTTGTAAAAATTAGAAAGAAGGGTTAGAAGAAAAAAAAAATCACTGTTTGCTGAAGTACCTGTAACTTAACAGCATCCAATTTCAATGGGAGACATGCTTCAGTTACATATGCCAAGGGTGCCAACAACTGCGGCACATGTGCTTTTATTAAGAATATTTTTTTCTTGATTTGTTTTTCTTTGAATAAACTTGTTTCAATAAATAGTGATTTTTTTTCTAACCCTGTAGCACTGTATATACACACACACACACACAGGGTTCCGCTAATCCTGTAACCGCTAATTAGTGAAGGGTGACTGTTAATTAGCTGTTGGCTGACTGTGTAAACACAATACGTGATTGGTTGATAGCCTGTTGCATTTAAGGTAGTCTGGGCTAAATGTAAGTGAAGGAAGATAAAGTCCATTTAAATTGGGGTACCCTGAACTAAGCAGAGAACTGCGGGTGTATCAAAAAGCTGGATTTCTTGCTTAATTGCATTACTTGTCGGATTTCAGGCACCTTAGTTTAAATGGACTACCTTAAATAAGTTATCCAGCTAAGCAAGAAATCCTGTTATGGCCCCTGGTTATTTTCCTTTATTTTCTGGGTTCTGATTGACCAATAAAGAGCTGAGACCATCCTTACTAGTTCTGGGTAAACGGTGCCATGTTTGTAGTCCCCAAGTGGCATCACTGAGGCCAAAATGTCAGCATGAGCCAATCGCGCAATAGGATTCCACTGACAATAACGCTTTCATCTTGGAAATGAAATATCACCAAAAGAAAATCTATTCTGGAGACTCTACAGAATCCAACGATCGCCACCTGGGTACATCCTAAATATCCCCCGGTAATCACTCCAGCCTTGTGGAACCAAATTGTTAAATAGGTCAGAATTTTATGTATCAGAGCCCAAAACCAAACCAAAGCTAAATTCATAATAAAAGTTGGTGGTTATTGTTAGCTTCCACTAGGGCTGAACAACTAAAGAAAATATCTAATTGCAATTTTTCTAACAGATATTCCAATTACGATATGATTTGCAATATAATTAAAAAATCAAGCTTCAGTTCAATATTTGATGTGTAACAGATTTAAAACATATGATGCAGCATTTCCACATGAAATACCAAAGTATTAACTGGTCTATATTGTAATGCAAGGATGAAAACTTTATGATATGAATTGCCTCCAACATATATTGATTACTTTTTTTAAATAGCGGAGAAACACAAAACAATTATCACAAAAGCTATGACTGTTAAGTTAAATCAAGCAATAATTTAAAAAATGGAACTATTTCAGTAAGAAGACAAACAACAGCAATCCTGCAGCTAATGCTGCTTGGACCCGAGTAACAGAACCTTTAAGTAAACAATCTCTGACCATGAAATAGGTAGGCAGTTCATTTATAACTCAGCAGCACAATCAATATTTTTTCACAACGTTTTCCTTGATTGGTGAGAATGACTGGCATGCGAGTAGCATGGCACTTCTGATTGGTGAGAATGACTGTCACACAAGGAGGACGGAATGAATCTGTACAGCTATTCTCGAGGCAGTTATAAACCCTAGGTCAGACATGCTATATAATGCATATCATAAATCAAAGTCTTTGCGATTTACTAATCACATTGTTTCAAATCGCAATTTTGATTTGAAATTGATAGATTGTTCACCCCTAGCTTTCGCTAAATTTTGTTGTGGTTCATTGGTTTAATGTTATGAAATTCAAATTTGGAATTAATACATTAGCAGTCATTACTTTTCGGTCAGCTGAGCCCACCACTGTGTGTATGCATAATATTAATAACAATAATAATAATAATAATAATAATAATAATAATAATAATAACAACAACAACAACAACGACGACGACGACGACACCACCAAAGTGAGCTAAACATTAAAAGCACTAAAAAAAGGATTAGACATGAAACCAACAACTAACCTGTGCTCGCTGAAGACAGAGTTATCTAGGACGATCTTCTCCAGCAGTTCAATCAGCTCATTAGGCAGGTCAGCAGTCATGAAGGCCTTTACAGAGACGGATACCTCCTCAGGGTCCTGGGTCTCAGAAAGTGCTGTTTGGACTACCTGAGGAGGTCACAGCAGGGGCAGAATTTAAACATTCAGACTCCCAAACAAATAAACCTATAATTATAACAATAATACAATACAGCTATTGTAATATCATTCATCATCACGTTCGAGGTCTCAGTTATTGCTTATGACAGCCAATAATAACCAGTGATGAAAAAAAAAAACCTACACTACTTTCACTGTAATAGTCATTGCAATAGTCAAAATGAACTCCTATGTAACAAAACTCCTATCACAATGCATCCTCATAAACAGATGGCATTGAGACCAGCCTCCTCAGAAATATACACTATATATAGAAAAGTATTGGGACACCTGGCCATTACATCTACAGGAACTTTCATGACCTCCCATTCTAAATCCATAGGCATCAGTATGGAGTTGGTCCCCGCTTTGTAGTTATAACAGCGGCCAGCCTTCTGGGAGGGCTTTCCACAACATTTTGGAGTGTGACTGTGGGAATTTTTACCCATTCATCCAGAAGAGCATTTGTGAGGTCAAGCACTGATGTTGGATGTGAAGGCCTGACTCGCGATCTCCATTCAAGTTCCTCGTTGAGGTCAAGGGCTCTATGCGGGCCAATCAAGTTCTTCCACACCAAAGTTACCCAACCATGAGTTTATTGACTTTGCTTTGTGCACTGGGGTACAGTCATGCTGGAAAAGAAAACGGCCTTCCCGCAAACTGTTTCCACAAAGTTGGAAGCACAGATTGTCCAAAATGTCTTAGCATGTTGAAGCATTAAAAGTTCCCTTCACTGGAACTAGGGGGCCTAGCCAAACCCCTGAAAAACAACCCCATGCAGACTGGCAGGTAACATTTTCCTTGTATCTGCCAAACCCAAATTTGTCCATCAGACTGCCAGACAGAGAAGCATGACTTCTCACTCCATGGAACACATTTCCATTGCTTCAGAGTGCAGTGGCGATGTGCTTTATACCACACCATCCAACGCTTGGCATTGCACTTGGTGATGTGAGGCTTGTATACAGCTGCTCAGCCACCGAAGCCCATTCCATGAAGCTCCCACTGCACAGTTTTTGTGCTGGGTTTCATTTCAGAGGAAGTTTGAAACTTTGTAGTTATTAAATCAGAGAGTGTTGCTGACTTACACATTATATGCGTCAGTATTCCACGAACCCGCTCTGTCACTTGACGTGGTCAGCCACTTTGTGGCCGAGTCTGTTGTTCCTAAACGCCTCCACTACATATATTCAACTTACAATAATACAACTTAAAGCAGACTGTGGAATATCTAGCAGGGAAGAAATTTCACGAACTGACTTATTGCAAAGGTGGCATCCTATGACAGTATCATGCTTGAATTCAATGAACTCTTCAGATTGACCCATTCTTTCATAACTGCTTGTAAACTTGCCTGCATGGCTCGGTGCTTAATTTTATACACCTGTGGCAATGGGTCTGAATGAAACACTAGAATTCAATGATTAAGACGCAAGTCCCAGTAATTTTGTTCATATAGTGCAGTGGTTCCCAAACTGGGGGCGTGCCCCCCTAGAGGGGCGCAGAGGTATTGCGGGGGGGTGCACCAATGGGATAGCCTCAGGGGCATGTGCCACCCTAAAATAATCTCTTCACAGACTGGATGAGTAAATAAATAAAGCAGCGCAACATTACAGTAACTATCAATAAACGAACCACTAACTTACGTGTACTATTAGAGCATTTATGT